CGGAGACGCGATACCCCGCATTAACACCAGTTCGAGATAACTTAAGTAGTGAAGTAAAACTGCAGAGAGGCGATATCTCGCGTCTTGTATTAATAATTAACGGAGATGCTACCCCGCATTTAATACCGTAATTACATAACGATCGTTATTTCAGGACACAGCAGGTGTCTCAAAACCGGGTTATTCCCATCCGTAGATCAAGGAATTACACACCTTGTTGCACGTCAATGGACGTTGATGAACGAACAGAAAACCGGAGACAGCAAATGCTGCGCCAGCCAGTACAGTAAACACTGATCCAGCAGCGAGTACTGCAAATGAAATTCGTCAAACGGTAATCTCCGCTTCAGTGGAAATACCGACCATTGGATAACACTGCAGTGGACATGGATAAAAAAACCGTCAAATAATGTGCCGATAAGGAGTCACTGTACTATCCGGACGAAAAGGATGGAGTGCTCGACAATAGCGCCGAAACAAGGACTACGTCTACCGTATTAGGCGAGGCCTTTATGTTAAGCATAGAATATAGATGCATTAAATGCATTGAATGAACAGCAATAAACTGCCGTAAAAAGTATAATGTGCCGTGTAAATTTACGCCGCATTTTGCAGCGTGTGTTCTCACTAACCTGTGATGGAATAAATGACACATTTTTTTATAATAAGAGTTGCTCTTGCTTATTATGTTGCATTTAGGATGCATTTCTTTCATTTCTCATTCCTGTTTTGAGCCTCAAGGGACCTCGGCATCCCGTCCCGTGGCATGTCAGAGTGCCGTGCATAGAGCACAGGATATTGGCACATATGCCTCACCACACCATCGGCTTGCCATTTTTGCCATTTTTGCCATTCTGCACACACGAGAAATCGTGTGTTTGCCATTCGAGTGCCAGCCTAGGAACCGTTAACATCGTTTCCTAGCTTCCTCATGATTTCATGCCCTTTTTCCCTTGAGATTTGTTTATGATGCCCTTTTTCTAGTCTTTATTTCAAAGAAATAAAGTGATCTTTCGAGGAGTTGTGGTTTCGTTGTGTTTTCTCTATGCAGCGTGAGCGCTTCTCCGAGACATGGACGTAAAACGCGCGTATGACTAAGCCAGTTGTCGGATGTGATGGAAGTGTTTGCGGACACCTCAGTTCCGGAAGTGACGGACAGAGCACTGCAGGGGGACTAGAGCACAGATGAGATCATGAGAAACCACGGGATGGGCGTGATTCCTAACGATGGGCTTCCAGTGAGCGACGCTCAGCATCCTGGTTAATTATGGCATCAAGCGGAGAAGTGAAAATTTTGAAGAATATTGTCAATGAACAATGGCAATCAGACGTGCAATGCTGCTCCTTGGCTCCGCTCCACAATTGTATAGAGTGACCACATAGATAGTACTGGCGGAAAACAAAATAATAAAGTTTTAAAACAATTCTTGAAAATGTCCACCAGGTGCCTGGGGCAATCATAAAGCATCAACTGAAATCTGTAAATTTAATTCACTGGTGTACCAAAATAGTAAACCAAACTGGATTTTCATGCTCGTTCGTTTCTGTATTTAGCCAAAAATGGTAAGCTTAATTTTTGCGCGGGAAATTCCGTTACGATTTCTACTCTTACGAAACGAAATATTAAAACGAAACGAAACCAACGAAATATCTAACCGATTACTATGGTGCTACTGAATGATCATGCCCGGTGCCCGAAGCATTTCAACTGCATCGGGGCAAGCAAACCGAATTATTTCGTTGGAAACGATTCCATCGCTGGGCGCTCGGGGCCGTTGATCGCAGTACTGTCTTTGCAGCCAATGCCAGGGTCGTTATCATCCGCAATACAAATAGACTGCATACTGCACTGCATTTGCTGCACAGACTTTACCAAGAAGCGGTACATGCAAACGGTGGAGGCCGTTAGCAGCAGCAGGAGACCGGGCAGTTGCAGACGTTCGGGCAGGAAAAGACCCACCAAGGAATACGGAAGCCATACACCACAGATCGCCGAGCAATGGGCGGCCAGTATGTAGAGCCAAGCGTTGCAGAATACGATCTCACATATACAGAAGCGCTCTCCATCGGCCGGTGTTGAAGTCTTGGACTCGCATACGACAGACCCTTGCGCATCGGGTTTCTTCTTGACTACCGGGATTAGGATAAAAGGATAAAACGACGGCAGAGTACAAATCAATAAACATTTACAAGTTAACCAAACAATGAAAAAAGCTTAATTATCACAACAGAAAGAGTTCAATAAACTTTTCAACTCCATCCATTGTTCCTAAAACTGAAGCCGCGTTTCCCATGCTAGTTACTCCAGTGATTCTGATATTCTTCAGGTTTTCGACTGGTGCCTGGTGGTAGCGCTTGGAACAATAGCAGTATTTTGAATACGCGAGGTCACGTTTAAATTGTTACGTAGAAACTAAATTATTTAAATGTTTCTGTTGTGGGTAGTAGTTGTGCAGTTTCATTGATTGATGGCGAGTACAGTACAAGTACTGCAATGGTGAACTTATCAGCAAAATTTATGCTCTGGAGAAAGGTAGAATATGCGCATAATTTTATGGCATATACCGGTACACATGTACTCGCGCAGGCGAAGCCAAAGCAGTTGTTCTAAAAATAATAACTTACAAGCCCAGATGAGATACATAGACGATATTCGCACTATATATTATATATATTTCGGAATACGGAACTCAAAAAGAAACTCAACAGAACAAAATACATACGGAATACATGGGGATGGAGTGTAAAGTAGGAGTACCGAAGGAAAGAGTAATACGGTTAAAACAATTTAGGCAAGTATCATGCATGCTTCAAAAATTTTGATGGATATAAATTTGCTTGGGTTATCTGAAGTTTGTGTTTAAATTGAAATCGCGACCAGAAAAAATGTTCCTTTTCATCCTTTTTTGTATCTTCCAGCCCAATAGATATTAAAAACTGCATACTAGAAACCGGTGGTAGACGTCTTTGATAAACGTACCATCTTTGTGCTAGAAATCAACGAACAACTTCGTTATTAAAGGCCGCAAAAGTAATCTTCCAGTGATATTCATGCTCCATGCCGACAATCTAATGAAAACTGACTAGCCAGAAACCAGCTGAAGTATTTCAGGAGAGACGAGTACACTCCCGGGCGTCTGGGCTTGGTCGTTGCATGCAGTTTCTGCCAACGCGAGCGTTTTTACGGGAGTGCCGACCGTACCATGTCAGCCGCACACACTTCACCAGCTTGCAGTACTCGTACATCCAAATGCTGTACGCCGTTAGCAGCAGCAGGAAGCCGGGCAGCTGCAGGCGTTCGGGCAGGAAGAGTCCCACCAGAGGATACGGGAGCTCCCAGCCCATGAATAAGGGGCAAACTACGACCAGCACGAATAGCTGTCTATAGACTCATTTTGCTACAAACCGGCGAGATTCGTAGTCTGGACTCCAGACTCTGGAGTTTTTGAAACAGAACATCTCTTTAGCAATTCAACGTGGTAATGCTGCTTCAGTAATGGGGACCGTCGAGAATGTTGTTTCGTTCGACCGTAATTAGATCTTGATATTGTTTAAAAAAAACAGAAGTGACACAAGCAGTCGGGTATTGTGGACTCTACGTCATCCGTTGTAGGTGCCCTGGATGTGCATTCGATAGACAAGTGCGCACCATGACATTCCTTTGCTTTCGGAAATTCTCGGTTGTCAGTGATGTCCCCTTGCAAATTGTCGAATGGGGCAATGCAGATATGAGTACCGTCTGCCGTCACGCTAGACGACCCCGGGATACGAGCTGAGGCCTCCCTGTTCAGAATACCAGTCTCCTGCGCAAGGTCCTCCTTTAACAGCTGCGATTTTTTCCTGGAATAACAAAACAGATCCTTCTTCTTAAATGTGAAACTTGAGCTATTGCCAACTATGCCGAAGTGTCCACCACCGACCTAATGAAGCAATACGAGATAACGCCACTGTTTAAGCGATGGAAACACCAGGAAGCAACTTGGCTTTACAAAATTCTGCACCCGGAGAAGTTCCAAGTGCCCCGTTACCTCACCGAAATGATCGTCGTAAAACACGATTCCAAACCGTACAGCCTTCGAAGCGGAAACAGGACCTTCATCGAAGGACAGGGAAGGACAAGGACGGGGAAGTCCACGTTGGCGTGGAGGCTGAACAACGTTATGAGCCAGCTAACCGAGGCCGGAAGCGACATTCTTAAGAGCAGCTCGCTTGCTGTTTTTCGTAATGCACTGAAGCATGTTACTATTAATTGATGCCTTTCTTTTCTTAGTACTTCTCTTGTTTTGTGGCTTTTGCTCTAATTTCATGATTCCTGTTATTTAGCCAGGTTTAAATTCCCAGGCTAGAACTCGATCCTAGCCTTTTAATGGGTTACCTGCCTGCCGTACAATAAACAATAATAATGAGCGCTTAAATGGAAAAGAACCTTGGTGGAAACCGAAAAACAAACCTGATGGAAAAATCCCGGTACATTGTGCAATACAAGAGGAAACTGAACTGAATAAATACCAGGCCAAACCGTACACGAAACTCAAGACGTTTTTTTTTAGTCACACATATTTGTGTGAAAATCATGACCACAAGCCCGTTCGGAAAGAGAAAAAGGAGCTTCGAGCATTCCCATACATCCCATCCAGATTTAAAATCAGTGCGCAGCGGTTGTACAGCAAGTGCCTGTGCAAGCTGTGCAGCGTGCATTTAACCACACAGGCCTGCACTGCACACTCAATACAGTAAGTTTGAGTGGAAAACTCATGATCTGTATTATTTGCATTACTGTACACAGGTTGCAGTTTTACTTGGGAGTTGGGGGTACATTCGGTCTCTCTTCCGGACGGGGCTATCCCCCGTGAAAATTTATGTTTTTTTGTAACAATCTTTGAACAGCGGCTATACCTTTTTGTGCTGTAAAAGTTAGTGTAGAACTTATAATTCCCAACTTAATTTGGCAGTCGTTTTTAGAAGTTTTATTGCACTGTATTCAGAACTTTTGCTTTATCGTTGTCAGAAGCTTTATTGCAACTTTTGCCGCACATTACTCGTAATTTTGCACATACTTCTATTCAACGCACAAAAAATAACACTGAAATTACAGAAAAAAACCCACAAATAAACATCAAACTATCGTCTGAGTGCTGCACTTGCTGTTTTAAAATACAGAAATTTAAATAGGAAGAATATAATGCAAAAGCCAGAAATTAAACCACAAAAAGTCTGTGTCGGTTCCGGAGTCGACTCCAGTCCATCAAATGGGCAATGAAATCCGTTAGTTTCCTAAGGAACGGGAAAACATTTACCACAAATTAAAAATTGTGGTCTGCACGTACACAAACTCAGTTACTTAAGTAACTTAACAATTAACTCCACACCAACTTACTCAAATTACTAACGTCTGAATCCAGTTTGTGGAGCTCACCTTTGCTGAGACTGGCAGTGTGCTTCACACCTCCATCCAAAGGCCCAGTGTACGCTCGTGTGCGTTCGCAGCGAAGGTGCCAGTAATTCATGCTTAACGAAGGGGAAGAGATCGTTCCATGGAGTCGACTCCAAAAATAACCGAAGAACCTGTGACGAAATACAACAAAATTAGCTTGACTGCCTTTAAGACTGACAAGTAGAAGCGTAAATTTTTAAAACTATAACGTGTGAAGGGATCTTCATATGGATGTGAGCAAATTTGAGAGAATCGACTCCGTCCAGCGTAAAACAAAGACAAAAAATTTAAATTTTCAATTCTTCTACGCTTACTAGAACGAAGTCGACTCCAAAATCATATGGCTACGTTTATATAACGTTTTAAAACCAGTCATCATACCTGTTGTAACAGAAAGAATGACTGAGAATCAAGGCAGGTTCGTCCAACAACCCAGCTGCAGGTTCGTCATTCAGCAGAGACGCTCTCAACGGCGATTCTGCTCGTAGACCCGTGAAGAAGCAGTCTACACCTGGTACTGCTTTCTGACTCAATGTTTCAAAATTCCATACAGAAAGCTACAAATCACGTCTGGTATCAGACCTTATCATTTTCTGTTAAACCCTTAACATCAAAGCAAAGTGTAATAAAATAAACTAAAAAGTGAAACAAACTGATTCATAATTTCCTACAAGTCACAAGTGTGTTGAATTTCAACGGCTCGACTGCGTTATTAGCGAGCTGAGCTATGTTTACGTGCTCGACCGTGCGTTCTTATTGCGGCTGCCACCTCGTGGGGTAACATGCATACCTTTCACATAGCTGCTTCGTATACTGCCACAAAATGATTGCTTTATTTTTTTGTAATGTGTTTCAATAAAATTTTATTGCAGTACGGAGTCTTATTTATTTACTAGTTTGCTAGTAATTAAAAGCCACATTGGTTATTTTGTTTTACGACGCCACCGAATTACTTAATTCATTGTTTATTATCTGTATGAACCACAGAAACATAAACTGAAGTGAAATATGTATTGTATACATATGTACATATGCAATTACTAACTAAAAGATTAATCATATGTTTATTATTTTAATATTTTAAAACTACATCGCATAAAATGTTTTTGTGCAGTTGCGCTGTATAAAGTAGCAACTTACGTCCATTGGTGACTGCTTATTATGCTTAAGATTACAAAAAATAAATTTTCAAACAGTGCGTGACTGTGCGTCAGTGCTGTAATACGAGTAAGTAACTTTTGACCAACTTGAAGTATTCCGTAAGTTATGTGAAAGGTCCAAGTTATAATCGGCTGTCATGAAAACTTTTTTGTAAGTTTAGCGTAACTTTACAAGTACTTCTTTTGGTAACTGGATGTTTTTAGTAACTTTTATTTTCACGAGGGTATGTCGATGTAACACAGTTAATGTCATAGATAAATACCTCACTTGTAGCCAGTCTTCCTGCTTCGCTCAGCTGAGACAGATCGACGGAATTTTTTGCAGCAGGCACGGACACCCCAATGCAACAGCGCTACACATAAGACTAAGACGGCTAAGCCAATGATAATATATTCCGCGTATTGCAGGATCAAAAACGGTATACCACTGACGCCGGACAGCACTCCACACCACACCAAGAACGCCCAGCTGACGGCCGGTGAGAAGGACGGGGTGGAGCTGGCCAGCAGTTTGGAATTGCCGCTAGTGTTCGCTCGCAGTTCTTCCGATTGCAGATCTACCCAGTAAGACAGCATCGCGATTTTCTGGCCGAAACGCTGTAAAACTCATCCGTTGTTATTTTTCTCCCTACGCTACATCATCGCAAAAATGCTATCCAAAGTTTTCATGGTGACTAAACCTCTGAAGTTCAATTCAGGTTTTAAAGATCGTAGTTTCAGTTATTCGAAGGCATTTGAAATAAACTATTCGTAAGAGCACAGATGCAGAGAAAGTCAGAGAAATTTCGAAAACCGTTAATTATAGTATTATTAAATATTTTTTGGTAAAGCCGAAATCGGTTGTTTTATACTATTGATCAATCCAAGAGTCAAACTCTTCACCTAGCGTAATACAGACTCATTACTGGTTTCAAAAACGTCAGCACCGAGCACGTACTGTTCCGGGTTTAGTGCAGTTCCCCGTTGTAGCAACAACGCGCCAATACGACCAGTTGCCACTTCCGGTGCTGCTGCTCCCAGTGCTGTTACTTCCAGTTCCGGTGTTGCTACTCCCGGTGTTGCTTAACCATTGACTGGCGGAGGGAAATTGGCCAGACGTTGTAGTAGACGACAATGCATCCCATGCAGAAGGCTATCATACAGCAAGCTGCACTTTCCCAACGCCCTCGCCCTGGTTTTCTGCTGCTGTTCGTAAATTTCTTTTCCAGTAGAGCATCGATTGGTAAAGGTTTATCGGTTGACTTTGCAGCAGTTAGTTTCCTGTAGGTTATTCAAATAGCGGGAGGTGAGTATTTTCAACACACAGTGTTATTTTTCTTGATGAAACTGCAAAATTATCTTGGATACTAATACTGTTTGTAGTTCATCTTTATAGCTGTAAAGCTATCATAACAGAAAATGTTGTACAGGTATCGAATTTATGTTGAACAAATGTAAAACATTATGTATACTATGCCGCTGGTGTTCGGCAACAAATCTTCTACCTGATTTCCTTTTTAATAAGTGCTGCATAGGTGTCATTCATCCACAATCCCCAAATCCTGCCGGTGCAATAAACGGTCAGTATGGCAACAAAGACGACACAGGCAGGGAATACCGTGGAAGGGCCAAATACATTTATGGCCAGTATAACAGACAGCCACGCCAAAAGCACCATCAGAGCGTTGACGATCATCCAGCTATGATAGTAGACGATGAAACTCGCTATGCCGATCACCGTATGCAGCAGGATCACCATGCTATCGGGCAGATGAATGTTAGCGGCACACCGAATGCGCTTCTTGAGCTGCACAGCTAATTTTCGGCAGTAAGGAAGTTGGTCCGTCGATACGGGACGCGTCCAGTGGCGATTAACGGCCATCAGGAAAACTAACGAAACGGCTAGGATAGCCGCAAGCATGATGCACACGAGGGTGACCACGTAGCCCAGGATTCTGGTCGAAGCAGGAGGAAGGACCCAAACCGAGCTGTTTGATATCAAACGGGCAACGGTATATGGCTGCGGCTTTGTCCATCCCGACATGGCGTCATCCCAGAAGCATGCGTCAACATGCTGCAAAAGATTGTAACAACAAACGATTATGACGTGACAGGTTTTGAGATTCACATGGTTTAATGCACCCATTCACACAATTCAGCCAATAAGTTGATTTACGGGGAAAAAGTGTTTGCCGCGTGAATAGTAAGCATAATAATTAATTTACAAGCAATAAGCGAAGTATTATACAAAATTGCAAGCTTTTCTGTTCACTTTGTCCGGCCTGTACCGACCGCTTATAGTGCGCGTATTATTCCAGCTACAGAAACAGTCTATATAGATTTTTAGCATAAAAAAACTAATAAGCCCGTAAGCACAAGGTACGAGTATCAGTGTGGATTATATTTCATTGGTAATATTAAATATGCATAGTACGTTTTTATATGCGTCTGTACGACTGTGCGAGCATCTTGCTCGAATGGGCCACGCCAAGTACTTACTATAAGTAAGAACTTACTACAGCTATAGTATCTGTAAATCCTTGGCCACGCATAAACTCAATTAGATCGGGCGCTTCGCTCTGGTATATCATGTCCCGGAGCACCAGGTTCGGTACTAGTACTTCTTATTTTGTTTTAGCCTGTTACTTGTTACTAGTTGTTAGGTAAGTCTGCAGGCAATGCGCCAAGCTTTCCTACCGAGGCGGTTGCCGGTTTTTGCGCACCGGAAGCTGCCGGAAGGTTTGGCTGTCATGCGAATTAATGGTCTGCACTCTGCAGTGGGTTGTGCTGTGCTTGGTCCGGAATAACACGCAAGAATGCGCGGAGAGTACCAAACCATTTAAAATTAGGAAAAAGGATGTCCACCAGTACAGCTACATAGTTTGTGATTAACAATCGTACGACTTCATTTGCTCTGCTTGATTGAGCAGTGCTAAGCTATCCTGAGCGGATAATATATACAACAACCAGTTTACGGAACTTATATCCACAAAAAAAAAATTTCGTGGCGTACACTCATTTCGACGTAGGTTTATTCCGACCGCTAAAGAAAACTGAAAATATAATAAACTGTGAAAACCTAAGAAACCTGAGAATCTGAAAATAATAAATCGGAGAAAATTTAAGAAGCCAAAGAAACCTAAGAAAGCTACAAATCCTAAGAAACCTCAGAATCTGAAAATAATAAATCTGAGAAAATCTAAAAAATCTAGGAAAACCTAAGAAACCTAAGAAAAACACGGATTACATTAATAATCAGGTTGATTATTTTCATTTTCTTTCGTTTTTTACAGTATTTCATGAGTTGTTAGCGAAGCGATGCCGAAGGGCGCGGTCTGCCTCTGTAGCTCCGCATTAGCATACGTTCGTATATGGAGGCCCATGGCAGCAGCTTGTTCTCTGGGGTTCGTGCCTCCCTTTGGGGCGCATCGATTCCGCAGTAGCCTATGAACCTTCGCGCCGTTTCGACTGTTCTAACGCACTTGGCCGCGTTGAAATCGGCCCAGCGGTTCGCCCGATCATCGCGGGCATCGGCAATCGTGTATACGAAGTTACGGATGTAAGTAATAACAATAAATTTACTTTAACAACAACAACAAAAGTTTGATTTACGCAAAAAATACGGTAAAATAACAGTAGCCTAATACCAGTACGAATAAAATATTCAACAGATAAAAAAACTCGGATGCAGCGGCTGGTCCGCAAATTCAGTCTGCAGTTAAATATTTCTTCTAGGTAGAACACCATTGTCGTATAAGTAATTGGTTATTTGGTTGGTTTTGTACCACTAATTAAGTACTACATAGCTAGTAGCTACAGTATATTGCCACTCCAAGGCTTTTCGCAGTATAGCGTAACAAATGAAGTACGAGACTATTCAATTTTCATATGAACTTCAATAATCATTATTACGATTTTTATATAAGTTTGCAAATGAGAGCGTGACATCGTGTGCAAGCGAGACTTACCAATCCAGACAGTTCGAGCAGGGAATCGAAAGAATTCTTTCTGTCCGGGTCCAATCGAATGGTTCGCCATTCTGGAAGAACCCGCTGTCCAAACTTCAAGCAAATCTGGCACACAAACCACAGCACCAAAGCGGATTCCCCTAAAATTTCTGGATAAGACGAATACCGTTTCTTGTCCAACAAATACGTTAAAAACTTCCTAATCCCCATTTTAACAAAACTAAATTTTCTACATTAAGCAACTGCAAAACGGTGCAAGCCAATATAAAACGAGTTTAAACTGTAACACCATTCCCTGCCCGCAGCAACTACAAAGCGACGACAAGCTATGACTCACAAGTCAGCAGCAGAGAGTAAAGCGGTCAGCAGCAGAGAGTAAAGACGCAAGCAGTGTGTTGTCAGATGATATCATCATGCACACTGCACAGCGCTGCCGTTAGCCGTTGGCTGCGGGGGCCACCGACCAGCATAATAATTATGTGCTCATACGAGTATAGTACGTAATCTGCTTGCGCAGGCGCCAAGTCCATTTGATCGCTTCTCAGTAAGGCAAATGCTGATAACAGACCTTGAATTTGGGGATCGGACGTCGCTTTGTGTAGAAGTATCAAAGCACTAGAAAACAGCTAACCGCACCTTAAAATCGGCATGATTCAGCGGGTCATAGCGATTTTGAGGTAAACGTGGCTGCCCAGCAAATTATTAGATCTACAGCGCAAATCTGTGTTCATCGATGGTTTGCAGTTATTATAAGCTTCACCAAAGCCAATGAATTTTGTCAAACCAATTTCCCAGGAACGACACTAGCCAGTGTGGCGAGTGCCAACGAGCAGAATTACCTCAACGCCATAGTGGCTACTGGCTAGCCTGGGAATGGATTACTGGTTCGGTCTAATTGAAGTGGAAGATACATGGGAAGCCTATTTCATAGACGAAACGCCGGTCGAGAGCAGAAACTGGGCGGTAGGACAACCTAAGCATTCACAAAGCTCTGACGGAGGATCCGTGCACGGTGCATTCAGCGACCACAATACCCGGGCGACTGGTACGTGGCTCTGCGCCTCCAAACCAAACACGAGTAATTGGCACGAGCCACATCCGACCTTTGCTAGTACTCCTGTGCCTACTGGCTGCCCATCGTCCTGGAAAACATCAAGAAGACAAGAACTGCTATAAAGTATTGCTAACCAAACCGCCGCATTTGTCTTGGCAGCAAAAAAAAAACTGCTAAATGTTGAACCAGGTTAATGTTTATTCAAGCATATTTGAGCACCGATCCGATCCCATTCAGAACTGAATCAGAAGACTACATGGGAGAGACGGAAGACTTTTGCAGTCGTTTCCGAGGTGGCCACTTGGCTTCGATTTTTAATAAAGAGGAAAACGATTTCATAAAAAAACGAAGTCCAGAAATCGGCAACCACTAGGCACTACCAGTACTAGCCGGCACTGCGTTGTTGAGTGCAGCAGATGTCGTCGGCAGGTGGCCAGCGCGGGTTACGATTGGATATCCCTGCTGCAGGTGAACCTTTATTGTTATGGACCTGTCCCCTACCCGGTCACGGGGTCGCAAGCAAGCCGCAAGCAGATCTGATATAGTACCTACATGTATTTTTGCCCGTTTGATTACAGATGTTTTCGTGTAAAATACAGTGCTCATATAATCGTTTTCAGGGACGGTCCAGGGAGTGTCAGCACTGCTGAATGGCGCTATGCAGTAGTCAGCATATCCGCCTGAAGACGGCGGCTACCATTGATTTCCGCAACGGAACCGGAAGTCAAAGAGTCCTATTGCGCACGGTTTATTATGAGAACAATATCCAAGTAGTTATGGCAGTAATGAACAGTAATATCCAAAACCAGATCAGAAAATTGTGACATGGAGGCGAGAGGTAAAAAACAGCATTAATTTAAATTATTCAAAACAATTTTGGAGGAGGTCAACACTGCAGTATCTTCTGATGCAGTGGAGGTCGACATATTCAGGGTGATGCTGACAACATTTTGCGATGTCAAATTTTGCCCTCGAACGTCTTCGTACAGCAATATATTGGGTGTCTTGTTCTGTATCTGAGAAATTGCTTGTTTTTATGTTTCCCAGCGGAATGTGCGGAATATTCATACAAAAGACTTTTTATGATAGGGTGACCCCGACCTTCGGGCCTCTTTCTGATTGTTATAGACGTTACGCTGATACAACAACAAAATAACAAAAACAACAAATAATAATAATAACAACAACAGCAAAATAAGCTGATACGTTAAGCTGATGCATTAAGCTGATACATTAATCTGATACATTAAGCTGATACATTAAGCTGATAGGTTAAGCTGATACAACAACAAAATAACAACTAATAATAACAGCAACAACAAAATACTTGTACTGTAGGAACATAGCCCACCGCGAAGCTCCAAAAGAAACTGAGCAGACCAAAATACATGGCATTATGCGTACAGTGTACGCTGCACAGTCCAAGTACCTTAGGGAAGAGGGACATGGTGGAAACAATTTAGGCAAGGATGCTTCAAATACAGTAATGTAATGGGTACAAACTCGCCCAACAGATTGAATTATCTAACGTATTTGAATGAATGGAAATCGCGGCCAAAACCCAAGAAAAGGTTTTGTGTTCTTCTTAGTTATGTATCTTCCTGCTTAACAGATTTACTTACAGTATATAGTATGCTAGGAATCGCCGAAGGAATTCGTTGATAAACACCGCATCTGTATGCCAGAAGTGGACGAAAAACTTCACTGATACAGGCTACACACCAAAGAAGTAAAATCTTCAGTAATCATCGTGCCCGGTGCCGGTAACCTAATGGAAGCTGGACAGTCGGAAACCAACTAAACTATTTTCAGGAGAGACTCTTCCTGGGCCTTTGGGCTGGGTTGACGCATGCTGCTGTTTCCACCAGCGCGAGGGTCTTTCCTTTCCTTTTTTCCGGATTCTCCACCACACCACATCAGCCATACACACCCCACCAACTTGCGGTACATCCAGATACTGTACGCCGTCAGCAGCAACAGGAGACCGGGTAGCTGCAGGCGTTCGGGCAGGAACAGCCCCACCAGGGGATACGGCAGGAAGCGGCCGCAGAGTAAAGGGTAAATGGCTACCAGCGGAAGTAAATTCCTATAGCCCCATACAACACACATGCAAGAGATTTCTGCGTCTTTCGGCATCGGTGCGTTGATTGTGCGTTCGATAGACACTTGCACACCGTGATTGTCCGTTGCTTTCGCGAATTCTTGGTTGTCGACGATGTTCCCCAGGGAACGATAATGGGCAGTTCTGACACGAGTTCCATCGGCCGCCACGTTTGATGATAGGTGCGAACGAACTGATGACGTGCTGCCCAAAATACCGGTCTCTACCGCCGCAGCGTCCGCATTCGACAGCTGTGGTTGTTTCCTGAAATAAAACAGGCCGTTCTTATTAGACACGCACCTCGCCCATATCGGTGTTTTCTGATGTTCAGGCTGTTCAGCTAACCGAAACCACCCTTGGAACTCAAGGTGTCGTAATTCATCAGTATAGGTTTTCTTCGTAGCCCTTTTCACAAAACGGGCAGCTTTACCAGGTGATGCTCGTAGTTGTACTCGTATTAGTATGGACAAACCGATACGTACATCGGTACATGGTACAGCACATTCATGAAATGTAAAATGCATGGGCTTCAGAATGCGGTAAATCACGCAACCAGGCAGCTGCGACAACGCTGACTTTGTGTGGTCACTGAGCAGCGATATTTTTGTGCAATATGTACTGTAAACGGTCCATTTAGTTCACGGGTACGTTCTGTCTCTAATTCCAGTCTCCAGACTAGCAGGCATCTGCGTAATATAATGCCAAAGAATAAAATTGGTACTTCACCTGCAACCGGTCATTTTGCTTCGTTCAGTCGGGCCATATCGGCGGCATTTGTTATAGAAGGCACGAACACCGACGTAAATGAGGAGTCCACAGGCACCCACCACGCCAATGCCAATGATAATGAATTCCGCGCCCAGCAAGGCCGCAAATGGAACACCGTTGACGCCGGACAGCACTCCACTCCACACCAGGAACGCCCTACCGACGGCCGGTGAGAAGGCCGGGGTGAAGCTGAGCAGTAGCTCCGAATTACCGCTTGGAGAAGCACGCAATTCTTCCGATTCCAGATCCACCCAGTATGACAGCATCGCAACTCTCTGGCCGAAATTCTGTAGAAACGCATTTACTTTCATTAGTTTTCGCCCTACGATGAACCATCACAAAAATGCTGCCCAGTACGTTTTCCTTGTGAAAACAAAGCGTGGAAAGAATAGTTTAGTTTTTCAAGATCGTAGTTCAAATAACGTGAACGTGCAATCAAAACAAATAGGCAGACAGTATGACTGCCTGCAATTTTGAAGACAAATTAAAGCAGTCTTTTCAATTTTTCTAAAGCCGGAATCAGTTTGGAAAGCACTGGCTCCGTCTGTTCTTCGATACTACGTAAACCCCTCTCCTCCAGTACTACATATTAGTGGCTTCAAAAACGCTATTGTAGCACGTACTGTTACGGGTTTTGTACAGTTCTCCGTTATATTGGCAACGTGCCAATACGTCCAGTTGCCACTACCAGTCTCGGTGTGTTGTATTGCTTTATATTGGATGTGTAGCCAATAATTGACGGAGGGAAATAGCTGAAACAACGACCAGACGTTGGCGAAGACGGCACAGCATCCGAAGAAAAAGGCTGTTATGCAGCAAGCTGCACTTTCCCAGCTCTCCCGACCATGGTTTTAGTTTTCTGTAAGTTAACCAAGTAGCAGCATTTGAATATATTTTCAGCAAACTGCGTTATTATTCCAGGTACAATTGTACTGTATGTAATATCAATCTGTAGGATAATAAATAATTGGTACATTTTGTACACGGATACATAATTCAACTGTACAGCTATCAAAAATATTCAAGCTGTACAAGTCGCGAGTGTAGACGCATACGATGCCGATCGTGGCCGGCAAAACTTTTCTAGCTGTACCTGATTGCTTTTTTAATCAGTGCAGAATAGGTCTCATTCATCCATAATCCCCAAATTCGGCCGGTGCAATAAACGGCCAGTATGCCAGCGAAAAGGATACAGCTGGGGAATACCGCGGAAGGACCGAAGAAAGCTATGGCCGATATAACACACAGCCATGCCAAAATCAACATCGGGAGAGCACCGCAGATTATCCAGCCACTATAGTAAATGATGAAGCTGACGATGCCGATCACCGCATGCAGGATGATCACTATGGGTTCGGGAAGATGGATTTTGGCGACATACGGAATGTACTTGTGCATTTGGACCGCCAGTCTTCGACAACAGGGCAGTTGGTCCTGCTGCACGGGACACGCATAGCCGCGGTTGACGGCAACGAGGAATACTAGGGATACGCTTAAGATCGCCGCAAGAATCATGGCCGCACGGGTACCTACGTAACCCAGGATTCTGGTCGAAGCAGCGGAAAGAGTCCCACCGAGCCACTGGATACCAGACGGGCATCGGTGATCGGGGGCGGTTGTGTCCATCCCGACAGAGCGTCTTCCCAGAAACATGCATCAGCCTTCTGCAAAGGGTGGAAGAGCATACATTACGACCTGGCAGATTCATACTGTTTAATGTCACCATTCAGACAAGATAGCCACTGAGTTTATATATGAGAAAAGTATTTACTGGCTGCACATTTGTTGCCTGTGTGACAATTATAGGGCTGAAAATAAAGTATACGAGTACAACTGCAATTCTTTCGTCTGTTTATATTCCTCGAGGGCTGCCAGCACTGATGGCCTATACTTTGCCTAATATTACAGCTGAAAATTATAAAGTATGAACTACATGTATAAGGAATTTTAACATCGAACAAACCCGTAAGCACGAGGTACGCGTTTTATCTGTTATTGATATTTACGTCTGTAGAAGTTCCTTGCAAAAATGGGTCATGCAACACCTAAATTAAATCGGGCGTTTAACTCTGGCGTAAAATGTCCAGGGACCAGGAGTAACAGAACTTTTGCCATCGCTAGCATACTGCGAGTTCAAATAACTTAATTTTTTGGAGGAACTCCTATTTTTGATTGGAGGACTCGGATACAATTGGCACTTGCTGGAGTGGAGATACGTAATGCTAACCCGAAATTTTACTGCAGGCCGTGTATCTGGCTATCACACCGAGGCGGCTGACGGCTCCTACGAACCGGAAGCTGCCGAGAGGTTTGGTTGCTGAGTGCGATTGTAATTAGTGTTTTGCGAGTGATTGGCCAGGAACAACAGACAAAGTACAAAGCCCGGTAAATTCGAATATTAAAGGATGTCCATTGTCCACTTATCCGTTATTTTTGTAACATTGGTCATTGAAGATATGTGTTTTACTAACTCTGCCTTATTGAGCTGTGCTATCGTGAGTAGACAATATCATAATAAAAATCATAAAAATTAACGCAAAAGGAATACTCTGCACGGTAAAATATCGTCAAGCTGAATCAAAACGCCAACGTGAATCAAATTAAACATTAGTGGAAAACACGGAGGTAGCGGCTAGTTACATGAATTCAGATTCCGATTAAGTAAATGCATGTAGTATGTATTTACTCTAACCATGGTAAGGCAGTTCAAGCATGAGTGGACTGTTGTCCAACAAGCATACAAACTGCTACAATATTAAACCGAGTCACCGTACCGAGATACGGATTTTCGTACAGCACCATAATATAGCAAGCGCAGCAGAATTGTTATGCTAGCAAGAATATATACTTTGTTGTATATATTGCTATATTGTTGCTATAGAAGTATGAATTTTCCAGGTCAACAGTGGCAAGCGAGACTTACCACTCCAGACAATTCGATCAGGGAATCGAAAGGGTTGTATTTATTCGGGTCCAAGCGACTGGCTCGCCATTCTGGCAGAACTTGCAATCCAAACTTCAAACAGATTTCACAGACCAACCCCAACACCAAAGCGGATTCCAATAAAATTTCTGGATACGACGAATACCGTTTCTTGTCCAACAAATAAGCTAAAAACCTTTTACTCCCCATTTCAGCAAAACAAATTTTCCGATGGAGTGACTCAAAACGGAATGAGCTATAAATCCCATATTATAAACGGAATATTATTAACTATAAATCCCAGTATGAACTACGAACTACAGCACCATTCGCCGCCCGCAGCTGCTAAATACAGTACGTAGATGACAAAGACAGAGCAGAGCCGATGATATCAGAGGCAGACTCTGCCTGCCAGAGATTGCTAGCTCCAGATGATATCATGCAAACATCATTATGCGTTAACCGTTGACCGTTGATGGATGCACGAGCCGACCATAGTATGTGCTCGTCCCGCGAGTAGTGGACTTGATCTGCGTGCATGCGCAGGCGCCAAACCCGGCTTATCGCCTCTCTGTAAAGCAAATGCCGATGATAAACACTGTGTTAAGAGATCGGCCGCCGGTTTGCGCTGCGAAGGTCTATCGCTAAGTAAGCCTAAGTTGATAGGCAGCTAACCGTACCTTAAAATCGCCATGAGGCGCCTGGTCAGGGCGATCTTAAGGTGCGGTTACCTGTCCAGCAGGTTATTTCACTTGGGACGTTTGTTGCACTTGCACCGGTACTTTTTTTTATGATAATTGTACGAGAAAAATGAACCACGACATAACCACCCAGCAAATATTACCGACGTTTAGTGAGCCGGACAGTGGACGCACAAAACCAAATTCTGTGCGCCGTTTTATATTTCATCGCTTGTGAACAGAAAGATATTAATAGCTGAACATTACATCGACAAATCAAATACCGTACCTGTTAAATAATACTTAGTAATACTTACTTAATTAATTTGTACTTAGTAATGATTACTCAATACTTATTAAATTAAAGTGAATTCAAATGATAATGTGAAATAAATATTTTTCGAGTGAGTTGCTGTCCTGCGTTTCTGCCGTGCTGCCGGAGTTAACCGCATTTGTACGTACATACTGTACATGCGGATATTATGCCTTTTAATGCTTATTCTGAGAATAAGAGGCCTGCATGCAATTACAAACCGCTTAACTAGGAAATCAGTCTAGGCAGAGAGTCTGGGTGTCCATTGTCCATCCACTGCGAAACATGACACGCACTGGTTATGCATGACACGGAATTCTGGAGCATCAATAGATTTAAGAGAAGTCGCCATTGGATAAAGTTGCAGAATTAATATGCTTTGTTTCGATGCCAATTCTTTTGCTCCTTTTCTGCCTGGGTGCTCTCTCACGTCTTTATATTCTGGCTTCTGATGCCATGCACAGTTCGAACCAAGTTTCATTTCAAAATAAAAATAATTTAACTCCAGGAAATTTTTTTCAACATTTTGACTTGACTTGACTTGGCAAAATTTCCACATTTTGACTTCTATTCAGAACATAAATTTTTCAGCATTTTGACTGCATAAAATTTTTTTTCGGCAATATTTTCTTTACATTTTGACACAGTCCAGTCCAGCAAATGTATTGTTTACTGCTCTAGCTGGCTACAATGGCGGGTGACGGAATATGGCATACAGTAGCTGCTTAGTACTTTAACATCTGTACTCGTGCTTTACGGCTTTATTTTTACTTTCTAGATCTTTCTCTTTTAATTTTGGTGATACTGTGTTGTCGACCAAGTTGGCACCCTTTTTTACAGTACAGCAAATCTATGCTATAAAGCTCTGTGCGCCGTGCAGGCGTGCACTTGAATTGCCCGCACAGTGGGAAACATACTTACAGGGCGGCTGGCAGCGACTGCCGCCAAAACACGACTGACCATTAAGAATGGCTACGTGAACTTCGCTTTATTCGTCGTAAAACAGAACTCTGTACACAAATAAACGATCATCAATTCTGCATAATAAACCCCAAACATAATAAAACCTAACATCACTTTGAAATAATATGCAAAAAAAACAACAGGACGTTATTCTCCATTCAGTAACTGAGGATCGAAAAGGCTAATTTCCAGTTCACTGGGTTGCTCATCAGGAACATGATTTTCATCGATTTCAGCATAGTTCTCTGCTGTAATTATTCCCGCTGCACGAAATGAACTCTTTATACATTCCGGAGTAATTTTGTACGCTGCTCGCGAAACCATATCGATAAAATCTTGACGATTCGGCTTTTGGAGATACCCGGACTTGGTGCAGTTATTTGGATTTTGCTCTCGGCGCCACTTCTCATATTCAGTCTTATAGAAGGCTTTGAACGCTTTATTTATTCCCACATCCAATGCGGAGTAGCGGCCGGTCTGCCCAGCTGGAATGAACAATTGCGAAACACTACGCTCTTCCAGCAGCTCGGCACTAGAATGCATTTTGTGGACTGTATACTGATCGCGAATCAAGGTCCTGACGCGACCGTCAAAAGGAAACGTCGTGCCGATCCACTCATGGTCCAAATCTTCAGTCCACCACGCAGATTTTGAGCTTGCAATAATTATATTTGCGGGTGCCTTTAGCGAACGCATTATCCCATCTGAAAGCTTTCCTGTTTTTGCTGCACCCTTGAACACAATAACGGCCGGCAACAGGGAACCATCGGCCGACACTGTCAATGTGACCGTAAACCTTCTTTGTCTCCTGGTGGGTGAATTAACCTCACTTGCTTGGAGCCGACGGGCACTACGGAGTGAAGCTTAGGCGCAACCAGCCGGACCATCGTCTGATCCATGTTCAGGATCCGCTTCAGGTCACCCGCATCGCTACCGCACTCCAGCGCTGCCTTCAAATCTATCATCGCATCGATATACTGTTCTTCCTCTTCCTAATAAAATACACAATAAATTATCAGACAACTGGTTTGTCTTCACATTTACTGGAAAATTTAAAATTACGTTTACTCACAATATCCTCCCGTGTCATTCCCTGCTTGCGGGATATGTGCGTAGCTGCGCGATAGACCAGTTTATTCCGCTTTTTGAAATCCACCAGCCATCCTTGAGAAGCCTTGAACGCTGGATTACAAGCTAACAACAGCGCATGTTCTTTAATCATGTCGTTAGTCACACACAGGCCCTTTCCAAACTGCTCGAGTATCCATTTCGTCAGAGGCGGATCGATGTGCTGGAAACCGCGACCGCTGCGTCGTCTGCGCTTTTTCCCTTTACCGACAGGGATGCCATTTGACAATTCTCTGAAACATTTTCTTACGTCAGTATACTTACTGTGAAAAATGAAATGAAAACTCACGAAATCCACCGTCGAAGTGTTGTTTCCGAAACATGTGGCTGAGATTTGGCAAACTTGTGAGGAGATAGACCTGATGCCTGGAAACTAAGCATGATGCTTTTCACGAATTCAGAACTATACTGTTTCGTCATATTAGTTAAAAAAAAGAAATCCCAGCAAAAAACAAACAATCTTTGCCAGTTATCAAATTTTAAAATGCTAATTGTCGTTGTTAACGGACAGGGGTTTTTTTGGCGGCAGTCGCTGCCAGCCGCCCTTTAAGTATGTTTCCCACTGTGCGGGCAATTCAAGTGCACGCCTGCACGGCGCACAGAGCTTTATAGCATAGATTTGCTGTACTGTAAAAAAGGGTGCCAACTTGAGTCGACAACACAGTAATTAATATTACAGTACTGACTACAAATACGAGTATGAATACACCATTCGCCGCCCGCAGATGCGAAATAAATGACAGAGATAGATCAGAGCCGATGATATCAGAGGCAGACTCAGCCTGCCAAAAATTGATTGCTACTTGCTAGTGCCAACTGCCAAATGATATCATGCAAACCCGTTGCCCGTTGGCCGTTGATGGTTGCCTGAGCCGACCAGAGTATGTGCTCGTTCGATTAGTAGACTTGAGCTGCGTGCGTTCGCAGGTGCCAAACCCGGCTTACACTTCTCTGTGACGTCAATGCCGATGATAAACACTGTTAAAAGATGGACCGCCGGGGTTTGCGTTTCGAAGGTCAATGGACTATCGCTAAGTTGATAGGCATCTGACCGCACCTTAAAATCGCCAGGTGCCTGGTCATGGCGATCTTAAGGTGCGGCTACCTGTCCAGCAGTTATTTCACCTGGGACGTTTGTTGCACTGGGACATTTTTTATGATATTTGTACGATAAAAAAAGGCTGAAACACCCAACAAATACTGCCGACGTTGTATGAACTCTACCGTGCGCACAAAACGAGAATTCTGTACGCCGTTAACTGCTTTTCTGAGTTTCTGCAGTGCTGCCGTAGTTAGCCGCATTTGCACGTACTGTATAGTCTGTACATGCGGATATGATGCCTTTTAATGCTTATTCTGCTTTCGCAGTTGGGGGTGTAACACCTGGAATGCAGTCGGAATGTAAATGCAGAAAAGGTTTATCACAGAAGAAGTCAAGAACTTCTAGTAAGATGCACTCAAGCGCTCTCCATCGTCCCCAATCTTTGAAAGTTACGAAAGGATTTCTGCAGGCATACGACAGAAAACGGTGTGATGAGATTACTCATTCTCGTTAATTAATTATGTTCAGATATGTTACAAAATGCGAACGCATGCACGTCAAACGCGCTATAACTGGTGGTATAACAAACAGTGCACTACTCTAGGTGAGCTACCGCTAAACTTTAAATAAAACGTGCCATATTTACCTACAGAGGATGCGACACAAGCTTGTCGAGAAATTAAGGGCGTAAAGATACAGGCAGCGCACACTGAGCGCAGTATTAGCATTAGAACGATGGTCACTACACTGCAGTTATCGTGATAGTATAAAATTTAATGCAATATCTCCAATATTTAAGTATTCAACGTACTAAATATAATAAAATAAATTATTCCTAAATATAATAAAATGTGTGATAATGCAAGTATTAGAGGTGCACTAGCCATGCCTAATTCATGAATTACTCGGCACTTATAATTTATGTGGCGCGGCGCCAAACGTGACCATAAATTCAAACGTTTCCAGAGATACATAATGTAAAACACTTTTGCCTGTAGTATAACGATCCTGCGTGTATCTGTACGCCATGAGCAGCTTACGACACTTGGCGAATGTTTATTTCATAGTGACCCTGCATGCAATCACAAACATACTGAAATAACAATTCAGTCCGGACAGAGAGGTTGAGTGTCCATTGTCCATCCACTGCGAAACATAACAAACACTCGTTATACTGTATATGTACATATATACATTATACTGTGTCATGGATAACTTACACATGACACGAAATTCTGGGGCATCGATAGATTTAAGAAGAGTCGCCATATTGCAGAATTGACATGCTTTGTGTGACTGCCAGTTCATTGCGCCTTTTCCGCCTATGTTCACTGTCACAGGCCTTAAGGCACGTCGTTTGTATATTCTGGCTTCCCGTGCTCATGATTGTGAAGTTTGAAACAAATTTCATTTCAAAATAAAAATAATTTATCTCTACGAGTAGGAAATTTCTTTCAACATCCTGACTTGACGAAATTCTATTCAAGACGAAATTTCTCGGCATTTGACACTTTAAAGTTTTTTTTCGGCTAAATTTTTTTTTATATTTTGACACTTGCGTCCAGCGGATGTATTGTTTACTGCTCTAGCTGGCTAAGAGTGCCGGCTACTTGTACCGGAATCTTCCGGATTTTTACGGCATGAAAAAAGTTTTCCGTTTCTTGCTGCTGAGTTCGGCACGAATAAAATTCTGTCGCTTTCGGTGAAGTTTTTGAATGCAGTGGTAGCCGCTTTCGTATTCTTTTTACCGGTAACATCACTGTATCAAAAGTACGAGTATCTGTACGTACGAGTACTGCCTATTACGCATGAGTGATGACGCAATGGTAGTGCGCTTTGTAAACCATTATGTCGATCATCAGTGTGCGCTGCGATCGCGGCGTTAGAGAATATTAGACGAAATAGCTTCAATGTGCTGTTATACAATGTACTGCCTGAGTAGCTTTAATGTACTTCAATGAAACAAGCAAGACATTTTATATATTCTCTTTTCTGGCCCCTGATCACAAGAATCAATATCTTCAAGTCAAGATTTCTAACATCTTTCAAAAATCAACTGATCTGATGAGCACCAACCCGTCCAGAGTTAGATTTATCTAAAAATTTTGAATGAATGGAATTCGCAGCCCCAATAACCAAAAACCATTTTTACTCACGCATTTTTATTATGTCTTTCTGCCTGTCAAATTCGTTCAATCTCCGAACTAGAAATGGACGAAAACTTCACTATTAATGAGCACAGAAATTAAGACTTTTAATGATAATCTTGTCCGATACCGGCAATCTAACAGAAACTGAACAGTCGGAAACCAACTGAATTATTTAGGAAAGACGAACGCACTCCTCCTCGTCTGGGCTGGATTGTCCTGCGCGCTTTCCACCAACGCAACACCCTTCCAGTTTTTTTGCACAGCAACACCAATCACGCCACGTCAACCGGACAAACTGCACCAGCTTGCAGTACATCCAAATCGAGCATGCCGTCAGCAGCAACAGCAAGCCGGGCAGCTGCAAACGTTCAGGCAGGAAGAGTCCCACCAGGGGATACGGGAGCACCCAGCCGCAGAATAAGGGACAAATGACGAGCAGCAGGGGTAACTTCCTATAACCCCATATCTCGCCCAAGAAGTCTTCTATCTGATCTGCGTCTTTGGGTGTAGGTGCCTGGGGTGCACATTCGATAGCCACTTGCACACTGCGATTGCCCTTTGCTTCCAGAAATCCTGGGTTGGCAATGGTGTTTCCTTGCAAATGATCGGAAGGTGCCGTGCAGACAGAAGTTTCATCGATAGACGACTCCGGGAAACCAGCTGATGGCGCGTTGTGCAGGGCAGCGGTCACCTGTGCCGCATCGTCCGCATTTAATAGCTGCGATTGTTTCCTGAAGTAACAAAGTATTCCTTGTTTTAGAACATGCATCTGACACACGATCTTGGTAGAAAATATCAGGTGGTATCACAGAAAACCGAATAAAAACCAACCCGCACCCATGGAACTAATGATGTCGCTTTTTTAGCCGCCCGTAATTATAATCGACACAGCTCTGGTTATGCGTAGACCAGTGTGGTCACTGAACAACGTTACCTATACTATTTTACCTGTAGTCGGGGTTCCTGCTTCGTTCGGTTGACACGTATCGACGGTATTTTTTATGGCAAGCACGAACACCCGAACGTAAGAGCAGCCATAAGACCCACAAAACGATGTAGCAAATCATGCTCCATATCGCGTAACGCAGGGTTATAACCACTATACCGCTGGCGCCGGACAGCACCCCACACCATACCAAGTACGTCCAGCCGACGGCTGGTGAGAAGGACGGAGTGAAGCTGATCAGCAGCTCCGAATTGCCGCTAGGGGCCGTACGCAATTCATGCGATTGTAGATCAACCCAGTATGACAGCATCGTGGTTTCTTGGCTGAAACGCTGTAAAAACGCATTTAATGTTATTTTTCTTTTTTCGTTTAAGCATCCCAAAAATGCTGTCCTGGTGGCAAACGACAGAAGTTTAAATTATAGTTTTAAGTTCTGAAACAAATAAATCTATTTTTTTCTAATGTTTCGGACGTCTAATAAGCCAGATCTTTTTGACTGTTGGTTCATCATAAAATTTTTCGGGCGTAATACAAAATTATGTAGTTTTGGTTTCAAAAACGCGAGCACGTACTGTTCCGGCTTTATTGCAGCTTCCCGTTGTATTGACAACGCGCCAATACGTCCAGTTGCCACTTCCGGGTTTGCAGTTGCAGGAGCTGCTCATCCATTGATGGACGAGCGGAAATTGTTTAAACAAAGGCCAAACGTTGTGATAGACGACAAAGCATCCAATGCAAAAGGCAACCATGCAGCATGCTGCACGTCTCCAGCGTCCTCTTCCTTGGTTTCTGTCACTGCCCGCAACTTCCTTTTTCACCGAAGCCCAGCTTGATGAAGGTTTCTCGGTGGATTTCGGAGAAGTCAGTTTTCTGCAAGTGTCAAGTGTTTCAAACAGCGCTATGTAATGATTTTCAGAAAACGTAGTCATTTTTCGAGAAATAACCGTAATAAATGAAATTTATTTTGAGAATTAATAGTGTGTGTAATTCTTTTGTACATTTGATGTATTCACGTTCCGTATGTATGTCGTATGTATGAATGAGTATCCGATGCCGTACGCATTCGCCGAAACTCTTCTACCTGAATCCCTTAATCACCAGTGAACCATAGGTGTCGTTCATCCACAATCCCCAAATTCGGCCGGTGCAATAAACGGCCAGTATGCTGGCAAAGAGGATGCAGCCAGGAAATACCGCGGATGGGCCGGAAACATTTATAGCCAGTGTTACAAACACCCACGCCAGAAGTACTGTCAGAGCGTTGAAGATCACCCAACCGGGGTAGTAGACGACGAAGCTGACGATGCCGATCAAGACATACACCACGATAAGTAACTTATCGGGCAGATGAATTTCGGCGGCGCAGCCAATGCTCTTTTGGATCAGCGCCTTCCATCTTCGAAAGTATGGCAGTTGGTCCTTCGATGAAGAATACTTCCACTGGCGGTTGACGACTGCCAGGAAAACTAACGAGATGCTTAAGATGGCCGCAAGAACGATGGTCACCAGAGTAACCACGTAACCCAGCATTCCGGTCGAGGAAAGGGGAAGAACCTCACTCGTACCGTTGGATTCCAAACTGGCAACGGTCGAATTCTGCTGTATCCATCCCGACATGGCGCCATCCCAGAAGCATGCGTCAACCTTCTGCAAACATTATAAAAGCTTGCAGTTTTGACATGACCTTTCAATGCAGCCATTCACACATGATAGCCACTGAGTTTTTGTACGGAAGTAACTGCAGTATTTGCAGCATGCTTGCTGTCTTTATGGTTGTATAATGCTCAAGCTATTAGCACATTATGGTACGCAAGTGCAAATTCGGTCTGTTTACGTTGTTCATGGCCTGCCTGTACCGGCCGTACAGCGTTTGTACGAGTAATATTACTATAAAGTATTTCAGCATCAGCAAAAAATGTAACCACGAGGTTGGAGCTCCAACTTTCATGGTACAATTTGTTTCATTTATTAAAATATTTAAGCATTTACGCCTGTAAAAATATACTGCTCAAAGAGGCTACGCAGAAATTCAGTTAAATCGGGTGCTTCGCTATGGTGCAAAATGTCCATGAACAACAGATTCTGCAGTTATGACATGTTTTAGGCATTACTACAAGCTACCAGATCAAATTTTATTTCTTGTAGAAACTCCTTATTTTGTTGAAGAACTCCGTTGATCAAAGAAAGTGATTAATAACTACAGCGACTAAGAGTTTTACAAATCCCCAAAAGCACCTCGTCAAACAGCTGGTAGCTACTACTGGCCGATTTCAAGCCACCATTAGAAGGGGTTGTTGATCACTACTCGTACCGATTAAGAAACTTCCGACCAAAGAAGGTCGCGAATGTCTTTAATCGGTTGGCAACAAACCGATTAAAAAGTTTCTCTGGGGCTGCTTCTTAAACAAACCTTTCTTTAATCGCTCAGAATTGCTTACGCATTAATTATGGCTCTTACTGCAGTCTGTTAACCTCATGCACCGGGTCGGTAGTCTGTTGTTGCGCACCGGAAGTTGCCAAAAGGTTTGGCTATACAGTGCGGCTGTTGTGCAAAAAATGGGTCTGGTGGCTCAGCCTCACTCTGATTGGAGGGCATGGCCGACAAGGGATGCGCGCAGGATGCACAATCTTTTAAGTTCAAATATTAAAGGATGCATGTTATGGTTAAATATCGCAAGACTGTTTTCTCTGCTTGATTGAACTGTGCTAATCTACAGTGAGTGTATTATAACAACAAAATAAAAGTTTCATTTGCGCAAAAATACGATAAAATAACGTCAGCAAGAAAACGTCAGCGCGAATCAAAATAACCATTTGTTGAAAAAACAGCGGGGTGTTCAAAAAGTCTCCAGTTTAATATCCGCTATAAACTGGACTGCAGTAAAATAGTCAAATGACTGCATTGCCAAGCAAAGAAAAGATTTGTCTGTTAATATAGCAAACAAGGTAGAATTTTCATATGGGTTTCTTAGGGCAACGTGTGCAAGCGAGACTTACCAATCCAGACAGCTCGAGCCAATAATCGAAAGCATTCATTTTGTCGGCGTCTAATCGATTGGATCGCCATTCCGGAAGAATCTGCAGTCCAAACTTCAAACAAATTTGACACACAAACCACAGCACCAAAGCGGATTCCAGTAAAATTTCTGGATAAGATGAATACAGTTTCTTGTCCAACAAAGAAGTGAAAAACGTTTTAATCCCCATTTCTACAAAACAAATTTTTCGACTAAGCGACTGCAAAACAGTGTAAGTAAAAATATATATATGAGCATAAATTCTTCACTGTTCTCCGCTTGCAGCCAATAAAAAGCGGTGGCGAGCTCAGACAGGCTAAATTTTTGGTGTCAGACGATAATTATCATGAAAACATTATCAAGCGCTGCCCTTAGCTATTCATGATTGCAGGAAATGACGGCAGCCGACTAGATTATGCATTCGTACGAGTAAGGACATAATCTGCTTGAGCAGACGCCAAATCACTTCTCCTTAACGCGAATGCTGATGATAAAGATTGTGTTAAAACTTAAGACATCGGTCGGCGGTTCGCGTTTCAAAAGCCAATTAAACTGGAGCTTCGGCAGAATCGAACGTTGGCCGAAGTGGTCCTGTGCGGTCGAGCTATAACGCGGCCGAAGTGACCAGACGCCCAGAAGCTGTCGTAATCATCGCATATGTGCGTCTGGGGCATTTAATGCACCGTAGACTTATATTTTTTTAATTTAACTGATATCTTGAATTTTTGAAAATTAAGCTCTAGACTTATTCACTTTCTTTCTGCACACGTTCTTACTTACACATCCACGGCGCAACCGCACATGTAAGGGCCAGTAAGGCGATGGCTGTAGCTATCATAGTGTAGTGCAGCGGCTTGTATGGCATGGATTTATGGTCTCTCTGTTGGGCACCTACAGTAAGTGAATGGGCGACGGTCATTCGGTTGGGTACTGGTGAATTGTAGTTCCCACAAACGGTTTCCTTCCGGTTTTCTTCTTTGCCTGATTAAGTAGATCGCACCCTTTACAGAGCAATTAAAAATTTTCAAAAAAGCTCAAACCAATTACCTGCATTTGCGTCGTTAAAAAAACAGTGAAGAAACCTTATACGGTAGAGGGCAACGATTTTCATGGCGGTAAAAATAAAGTCAAAGGTAATGTCGAAAAAGGCAAACTGAAAAGGCAAATGGGCGGCAGACGTAAACTTGGCCTACCCTGGGTGGCTCGGACAGCACAATAACCGGCGCTCGCGGTGCATAATTGACGCTGAATCAGCGTCCACCGCGTTAAAAACTATGATTACCATTTTAATTAGCCTACTCTGTATGTGTCGGGAAATCGCACCCGTTTTACAGCTATTCAATTACCTTGTGAACACTGAACAGTCTCCATACTGCGCTGAACCAGGACTCATCGGCGCCATTTATCATGGCAGATGGGGACACCGTTAAGACCATAATCCCTCATCGATTACAACGACGACGTCAATGAAAGCTCTTGACGTAACGGTGCAGGACCGAAAACGGTGCTCGTACACCATTAATGGCGGACAGCACCTACACCACACGGTCCACATCCGAAACACTGAGCCGACGGCAGATGATGGAAAGGACGGAGCGAAGCTGGCCTGTATCGCCGAATTCGCGGCATGTTGCGAGCGCAGCTCACTCAAGGTTGCAGGTCCATCCTGATCCATTATGATAATATCGCGTTCTCTTGATCGAATCTCTGAAAATGTATTTACTGCTTAGGTGACCTCGCTTTTAATAAACTACTGCTTACAAGTTACATCATACTCAGAAAATTTTCGGATTTAAAATATAATGCTTTTTTGGAGTCATAATAATAGGTGAAAAATACCAGAATTAGAAAAATTCAAATTGCCTATTATAAGTAAGCTATTACGCCAGTCAGAGTGCGGTTATCTAACTATTTAGCTGGCCGTATAAACGCCATGATTGCGACAGGACAGCCACTTCGTTAAAAGTTAAAACACATTACCAGTGTAGTAGCACGTGCGTAAGAGTGCTCTCAAAAATGGAAAGGATTGAAAGCATCATCGTCATTTTGCCACCGTCAGAGGCTCAGAGCATCGAAATGGGATAAAATGTCAGCTATGGAGTATGGAGGTTTCTGTCAACTTCAAGCAATCTTATCCGTGAACCCCGCACAAACCTGCAAAGGTTCAGTACGGGGTAAAATCTTAACCAGGGAATATTTTTTGTCTTCGTTACAAAGACATACAAAGATTTTGTACTGTCCAGAAGTCCCACGCAAAAAGAGTAATTAACAAACAGAAAATATAAACAATAAAACAAATGCAAAATAATACAAAATCAGGATTAACCTTGATATAGTGCATCCAAGAGCGACAGATTCGTTAACTAGCATCTTTCGATCTGGCAGCTGTAAATGCTGCTACCTTGAATCTCGGAAGAAATGATTGGTTCCGAATTCTGGAGAACTTCGTTTCTATCGAACAGATACCTAATTTACGAAGACTGGGAACTCTGAATTATCCTGCCCGTAGACCCCTACTTGTTTACCGTTGACAGAATATCAAAACCCCCGTACCAAGGCGGTTGCCAGTTTTCAGGCGCCGGAAGTGTCTGAAGTGCTTTGTTTGATACTCGTACAGTCGTACCAATTACCTTTGCCTGGAAACGTGGTATGTGTCTGGCATGGGATGTCACCTGCGTCGACACTGTCGCCTCGTCCCATATCAAGTCCACTTCCTCAGCTGCCGGATCCGCCGCGGCCCAAGCCGAAGACAAGAAAGCCAGACTCTATGCGTACCTTGTAGGTAGATACATTTTTGCAGCACTAGCCTTTGAAACCTTCGGGCCCTGGGGAAAATCGGCATCTGCTTTAATAAAGGAAATCGGCAAGCGGCTACAGCAACACACCGGGGAACCTCGCTCACACGAATTCTTACGTCAACGTCTGTCGATCGAAATACAACGAGGCAACGCGGCTTCCGTGCTGGGGACGATGGAAGGAGCGGATAAATTAGAAGAAATTTTGTTATTGTAATTCTCTATTTGTTGCCAATTCATGTATTCTAACTGGCTTGTGCTAATAAAAATTATGCGATGTAATTCACTGCGCATTGCTTCGCGTTTGAATTGCTTATATATTTTTTACATCAACATTACACAACCTCTTCGCGTGAGGGCAACCAGTTTGTATAAAGGAACTGTAAAAAATTTGATTAAAGTCGCTTTCTGGACTTATTTAATTTAGTGAATTTCTGGACCGTCTTCGTATAATACCCCTGATCTATCGCGAAATATTTCACGGAAACCTTGTATGTACGTATGTGATGAAACAAGAAGTCAGAATCCGGTTAGTCCTAGCCAGAGATATTTGCTAGAAGCCACTGTCAAAATGTAAAGGAAAAAATTGCCGAAAAACATTCATGAAGTCAAAATGCTGAAGAAATTGCTGTCGAATAAAATTTTAAGCCAAAATGCTGAAAAATCTTCTGAAAACACGTTTTCATTTGATAAAGTAGTTGGTTTCAAATGGTGCATTACTTTGATTAGCTCAAGTCGAGTTAAAAGGCAATATTAATAAAGACTGAAAGAGAGCAAAGGAAGTTTAGATATATACAGACTAATACAGTAACCGTAGTGACAGTACTTTGAATTTGAAAAAATTGGAATAATTTTTTTCGATATATGTAACAAACGTCTGCAAACTTCGTCTCGAACACACAAAAACATGACAAATTTCACCGGTTACCACCGCGAAGATTTGAGATGCGCATTAATGATGTCACTAGTTAATCATAGAAGCATAATTCAAATTACCTACCCGTAGTAAACTAGCGTAATTCGAATTATCCTGGATTCCGCAGATTTGTTTGCTTAACTTAAATTGGTTTCCACCACTCCAGCACTTCCTTCATCTTACAATTAAGTGCCAATGGAGAATGTGTAACTGGCCGCTGAAACCCAGTTTAAACTAGAAATAACTCACATTATGAAGCAAGCTGTAAGTTCCAAAAATATCCGTGATTTTGTTGACCTTTAAAAGATACTTAGTAGAATAAATAGTTGTTAAAATTGCAGGAGATATAATACGCTTACAGCTATTATTATTGTACAGTTTTAACTATACATCCACATAATTCTTAGTATTATGCACATTTTAATTACCATAATTATTGATATTCACTAGATACCATGAAATATCAACCTGTTGATTTTACAAGAAGGGGCTTGCACAAAGTCGATCATTGATGAAATCACATGAAACATTTATATTATGAAATTCCAAATTATACGGCTACAGCAGGTACATGCTGGTACGCTAGAAGTATGCGTATTACTGGGCCGAATTATTCGGCCCGAATATAGGTCACGAAACCAGCACCGATGTGCAGTTACTTCTTCTCCGGAAGGGACGGACATATGACCACACGGGACACGCTGGAAAATGAAAGACCGTCGACTGTGCGTAACAGGCTTCCAGTGAGGAGTCAAGAATCTGGGGTGATTGCGGCATAAATCGGGATATATGAGTGTTGATAGGACGGTGTTTACACAATCCAACGATGCTCTTCTTACAATCGATCGAGAATCGACCAAGTCTCGGCGCACGCTTCTACTTAATATACTACAAACTCGCTCGAACTATCACTTTCGAAAGGCGAAAGTTTTAGAATGGTTGCATATCAGCAAGTTCATTCGGTAATTTTGCATTTCTGTACGGCGATTAAGCTAAATGTGCACACAATTTCATAACAGTAATTTTCACAGCACCGGCAATGCAAAAAATAATATTGTAGCCTATAGCTATAAACATGAAATTTTTAAAATGGACAAAGATCATGGCCCAAAAATTAAATTTCATGCTGATTACTAATCCCTTTTATGTTCATATGTTAGAAACGTTCAGTTTAAACACATTTGCTTATTTTTAGAGATAGAAAATGGATTGGGCGAATTTATGTGCGAAACGAGAATTCGATCTTTCCTGCCACAATTATAATAATTCCCGATGCCGAAGAATACTAACGGAGCAGCCAGAAACCAACCGCACTATTTCGTGAGCAGCGGCTCCACTAGTCTTTCCTCCAGCTCGTCCGCCGGAATCATCTCTCCACAGCAAGCGCAACGGAGTCCACAGCGGACTTCGTATTCTTTTCTAATAATCTCCTCACCGTACCACATCAACCACACAAGCATCACCAATCGGCGGTAGACCCACACTGTGTAGGCCGTGAGCAGCAGCAGCAGAGCGGGTAACTGCAGTTCTTCCCACAGGAACAGCCCCACCACCGAATACGGGAGCAGCACGCCGCAGACTACCGGGCAATGCGCGACCACCACGAACAACCAAATAGTGCTCAGTTGTTCGCACACGCAAAAGGGCCCTGTAGCCACTGTGTTCTGTGGCGCAGCCATGGGTGTGCATTCGATAGCCACCTGCGCACCGTGTTCGTCCTTGGCTTCCGGAATGACGTGGTCGTTAGTGGCGGGATCTTGCAAATGATCGGATAACACAATGCAGGTAACATCTGTCTTTACATCAGCCAATAATGGAACACGATCTGATGGCGCGTCGTTCATTAAACCGCTCTCCTCCGCCGCAACGTTAGCAGGCACCAGTAGAGGTTCATCACTGAAATAATAAACATGCCCGTGCTTATTAAAGGGAATAGGCGCGCACAGGCAGGGGTCTACCTTAAGAAGAAGAAACGGGAAAATGATATGGCCGCGAACCGGTGCGCAAATCAGGGAGAAGAACAGAAAATTTTTAGAAAAACGGGTCCTAAGTATGGACGGCAAAACAGCCTTCAGTATTACCAAGCACAGCCTAATTTAAGAATGACAACCTGTCGTCAGCCACCACGCTCCGCTGGACTAGGGCACACCGACGCCATTTGTTATAGTAAACAAGGACACCGCCGTGGACGAGCAGTCCCCCGACAATCAATACGAACAAGCCAACGAAGATACCCTTCGCATAACGCAGGACGGCGTAGGGCAGACCACTGGCGCCGGACAGCGCTCCACTCCACACCAAGAATATCCAGCTGACGACGCGTGGGTACGACGGAGTGAAGCTGGCCAGCAGATCGGAATTGCCGGTATGCGCTGATTGCAGTTCCTCCGACTGCAAATCCACCCAGTAGGACAGCATCGCGATCCCCTGATCGAAACCCTAAAAAAAGTACTTCAAGTACTTATCATTATTGTGTCTCATTACAGGTATATCAACTTAATACAAGCGGCCATCTCAAATGTTCGAAAGCAGCCTGCTACTCAGTGTTCGGAAGTATTAGCTCGAGTATCAAGTTCTACTTGAAAATTTAATCCATCAAAATCAAAAATGATGCACAACATAGAGTGGGCACAAGTACAGATAGGTGCGCGTCAGAGTGCTTCTACAGAAAGCAAAGCTTTTGGAACAGGTTCTTGTCCCAGAAAGATCAGCACTTACTGTTCCGTGTTTGCTGCAGGTCCCCGTTAGATTGACAACCTGCCAGTAGGTCCAGTTGGCGCTATCCTTGTTGCTTTGCCATCGACTAACGGTAGGAAATTTTCGACACAATGGCCAGACGTTGTAATAAGCGGCAAGGCATCCCGAACAGAATACCAAGAAGTAACAGACTGAGATTTTCCAGGCTTCATAGTAAGGGTCCGTGCCTGCGACTACGATCGGCTTTCCCGGTGAGGTAATGATCGATAACGTCGGTTTTACACTGGATTTCGCAGCAATCAGCTTCCTGAAAGTACATAATACGGCATAACACGATTTCTTAAAGAGGAAATCAATACAACGACTACCAGTGTGAACTGCAGCACTATATCTACAGTAAGTTACTAAGTAAATAAATTATTGGTTTAACCCTAATATCAATAAACAGTGTGTTAGTATATTAAAGTTTAACTTAATTTATTGACGAAAATCATTTTGTAGTTTTAATCCTCACCCGACAGGTAAAAACTTCCTACCTACCTAATTTTCTTTATAGTTAGTGCATGATAGGTCTCATTCATCCACAATCCCCAAATTCGGCCGGCGCAATACATGATCAATATGCTAGCGAAGAGGATACAGCCAGGGAACACCGTGGATGGGCCAAATACAGTCATGGCCATTATGACTGACATCCATGCCAGGACCACCACTGGCAGGACCTCGACAACCATCCAAAACGCATAGTGGATTACTGAGCTGATGACAACAGTCAACCAACCAACCAACACGGCAAAAATGTAAGCTGGCAGTGGCAGAGGAATTTTGACGGCCGCCTGAATAAACTTATAACGGCCTAACGCCGCCAGTCCACGGCAGCGCAACAGGTGGTCCTTCGGTAAGGGAATTGTCCGGTCGCGATTTTCGTATACCAGGTAACAAAACGAGATGCCGAGGAATGCCGTTAGAAGAATGGTTGTCACAGTGGCCACGTAAGCGAGGAGAACGTTCGATGAAGAAGGTGGTACCACAACCAACCCAGCCGACTGGTTAATGGTGACCGGATGTGGTTGCATCCATCCCGACATGACGTCATCCCAGAAGCATGCATTGACCTTCTGCAAAAAGTTAGAAATTTTTTTTCTTATTATTAACATATTGCTTCGTAGTTTCCTTTTTTTGTGGAAACTGGAGACCTCACCGTTTACTGCTTAGTTTTATTAAATTTTGACTGCTGAACGATTTTTCCAGATAAGTAGTACTTTTATAATTTTATTGACTAAGCGCCGTTGAGATCCACTATACATAAACAGTATGTATAAAAGGAAATTATGTTTTATAATGAACGCCCCTGTTGCTTGTTTTGCATATCCGGTATAAACTGTATCTCAGACTGTCTGCGAAGCAAAGTCACTCCACACTCGCTCACAGGTAGTTGCACCGTTCCACATACAGAGCGGGTGGTAAAGCGATCTTGGGCATCCACCATTTTATCGAGCACTTGAAGCATATTCGCAACTCGCAAGGTACAAAGCAAATCCCGTAATGAAACGAAATATGTAGGATTTCCCAGTGGAAAACATAGAATGAGTTACGAACGCCATATTTTTGTCTTACAGGTAACGAACGGCATATCATCATTTTGTGTACTGTGTACTTTGTAAAATAAAACTCCCGTTTCTTTACTTATTTCAGAGTTTTAGTATGTAGATAATCGAACGGCCGCAGAAAATCATATATGCCTGCATAACGGGTTACCTGCCTGCATTAACAGTAAACAAGGCAAAGAAAAACACAACAGAATGGTGCCGAGAGCTGATCTCCTCTGGAGTCTTGAGCAAGGAAATATGATTGCTTTTAACGCGTTTTAATTATGATCCACGCACTTAGAAAGCGTCGATTTTTACGAAAATACTGTTTTACATAATATAATGCAGTTAGTTTTAGCAAAACATATTGCAACGCCCGAGCATATACATAGCTGTGTTGTTTGTTCAAGAAACAGAAGAACCCAACTAGATTTTGTAATGGTCTCCCCAAATCTCGCTTTAAACTAACCCTGGTGTAAAACTTCCACGAGCGATGAATAGCGAATTCATTAAGTAACAGCGTTCTTTCTAGTCGGTCGAACTTGGTGCGACATAAAATTTTGTTTAGAATCGAAAAACCACTTGCTTTTCAACATATTTATGATTATTGTCTATTGATGAGCAACACAAATTCAGAATTAATGACTGGTAAAGATAAGAAGAACTATTTAGTAAGTAACTATAAATCGTGACTGCAAACATCCCCTAAAGCTCCCACCCAGAGGCGGTTGGCAGTTCCTCTTACCGGAAGCGCTCGCACCGGAAATGTTTTGTTCGAGACTTTGACCTACCTATTGCTCTTCTGTGAAGAAAATATGAATGCTGCAAACTATACTTGTAGTTGTTCGATATTCACGACAACAGATGTATGGGCCGTAAAAATCTCCATAAGTTCATAAAACGATACAGTACCAAGTGCTCTGTCTCTGGTAAGAATCGTGAGGAATTTGTTATTGAGTACAAATTAATATTATCTCTGCTTGCTTGAGCTGTGCTTTGTATTTAAAGAGATACAAGGAGGAAATTGATGTAATACCAAGAAAAATATTAACAAAATTTCAAAAAAATGTAAACTTGGCCGTGCCTCAAATTAATTAAGCGTCGGTTGAAAAGAGGGATGCAACGACTGGGATGAGCATTTGCCTTTAGAACACCGTATTCGATCAAGGCACAGAACATTTAAAGTTAAGAAGCATGCAAAAACAGAAAATACAAAATAGCTGGTTAATTTAACCCACGTTGAAGCATTAATATAGAAAAATAAATATTATACAAATATATATACAAATAAGAAATATAAAAATAGTATTTGTTTGATGATGCTTCAGCTACGGGGCTACTTACCAGTCCAGACAGTTCGAGCAGGGAATCGAAAGAGTTGTAGTGATCGGGATCTAATCGACTGGTACGCCAATCCGGTAGGACACGCAAACCGAATTTCATACAAATTTCACACGCGAACCACAAGACCACCACGGATTCTGTTAAGATTTCTGGATATGAGGAGAACAGTTCTTTGTTCACGGAAAAAGTAAATGACTTTTTGAATCCCATATCAGCGAAAACAATTGTAAAACGATGCACACAAGACACAACCGTTCACTGAAAACTGAGAGCGATGACAACCTGGGTCAAAGTAGAGAGAGACCCAACATATAACGTCATATGATGTTATAATCACCGGCACGATTCGGGATCCATGTGATATTATCATTAGTAATTCTTTTTACGACAAGCTCTTCCAAACCGGGAATCCAACAGGATTTGAGCCCTTATGAGGACAGAAATCTGTTCGTGGAATTATAAATCCTGTTTACCGCTTTCCTGTACCGAAACGCTGTTACGCCGATGATTTCCTTGTGTTGTTCGCGCATCCGCTCGATAATTCCCTCGGCATGTTACCGTGCTTGATTGAAGTCACCATAAATCTGTGCCACCTAGTTTTAATTATCCAACAAACCAGATGGGAGTGGGAAGCGCGAAAGGAAACTCCCGAGTGTCGCAACGCCGTTACAATTAACTGCAAGTTGCAACTTACACATACAGTCTGAATAATCTGATACAAATATACTGTACCCTGTTTTTCAACAAGGCAAATTTTCGCTTAAATTTTGCGTAAATATAGTTGATAGCGTTTGAAGACTGTATTTTATTAGAGACCAAGAGCAAAACTGCATTATGAGCAAAATATACAACGAGCAGTAGTACTTTGTAAAAGTGTTCGGAACTTTTCACATCTGCGAAAGCAAACTGCATAACATTTTAAGTATGCCCAATTTACTTTGAAGTTCTCAAAGCAGACTTTATTAATAAATTTAGTATAGGTGTGTTTATCTTCACACAAACCTGCAAGTACTCGGCTGGCTTCAGTTAGTTGCTTACATTTGGGCTTATATTTTGTATATACTGCCCGAATGGCGCAAGCAAAACGGTAGAGACCGTAGAGTAGAAAATATAACCGGGCTCTTCGAGCTTTCCCGGATATTAAAAGCCAAAATGCGAAAAATTTATTAGTCCTCGTACTTTCTAGTATTGTATTTCTGCCACGCTGCAGCATAAACTTTTCGAAGAGCTAACATCGTTTTCTCATTTTGAAGACGAGAACTTAATTATATAGCAGCATATAAATTAACAGCGAACATTGCCATGCAGCTTTCGACAAACAACGCTCGAAACTTCCACACCAAGGCGGTTAGAACATTTTGCCCGCCGGAAGTGCTTGCAGTGTTTTGTTTGAGACATTTGCATATCAAACACTCATCATAACAGTAAACAGACCTACTGTAAAAGGTAAGATAACAGGCCAGAGATTTTGTTCACACCGGACTGAACTAGTTAACTAATTCACGACAAAGCAGAAATTCATGAATTCATAATTGCCAAAAAATACAGAATCCAGGAATTTTGTCTACCTGCCTTGGTGGTTCAGAATAAGAGTCATTAATTGTGCTTAAAAACATGGATCTACCGGCTAGTTATAGGTTTTCCGTTGGCAACAGTATACGCCGCAACACTCCGTTATCGAAAACAAATATAAAAGAAAGTACAGTGATGAACCTAATTAGGTCCTTTGAAAAATGCGAAAAAACGACCCGGCTGATTCCAAAAATTCACTTGGCAATTAACCCACAATCATGCAGTTAATACACGCCCAACTGGACGTACTGGCGTGTCGTTAACACGACGGGGACGTGCAGCAAATCTGGAACATTACCGACGTGTTTGCTTTTTTTAAATTACCAGCAGTTCTTTAAATTTGCAATACTTTCTCCCAGATTCGATCAAAGGAGCCAATTGTGTCACACTAGTTCGATCTGCTATCTGAAGAGCTGCACTCGCTGCACACCGGCCGGCGGCCATAGAAATCCTGAATATATCCCAGCTGATAGCTGTTTTAAACTTACTGTTTATCTATGGCGATTATTTCGTCAATCAAATAATTTCCAAGCCGAGAACTTAATTATATAGCAGGTGATGCCTGATTAACGTTGACTATTATGATCTACACTGTTTACTGTAAGTGTGCGATTCAGCTAACCGAGAAATAGCATCTAATGTACTCGTTAGTCATTATCTAGAGAGTCTCCGTTGATCTGTTAAATTCTGTGTTTTGGGTAATCCAGTACTTATTTGAACAGTACAGCAACAATGTTTAAATGACGGAAGTAATCAAAGTATTCAGTTTAAGTTCACACTGGGTTAATTTTAAGCTGCCGCTCCTTCACAATGGAACGAACGGCAGCATTAAATGAATTTTGTCATATACATATTATGATTGACTGTTTCTTAAACTGTGGAGTATCATGTTACCGTGCTTAATGAAATAAAAAAGCACATTTTAAGCCAATGAAACGCGTAAATTGTATGCCTTAAAAAATTGCCTTTTTCTTCTTTCCCTATGTTACACACAGGTTTCACACGTGAAGATTCCGCCGGCCTTTACATACAACGGAGTTAAAATGCCGGTCCCAGATCCATTGGATGACGAAGTCGTTACCCAACCGGGAGGATATTACATCTGCAACTGCGCAAAAAAATATGATTCTCAGGACATGTTTGTATGGCACAGCACCGAGGTGCCGGAGTACGACCTGGCTACCGGCGCGTTCTCCATCCGTTTGATCAACTTTTCGCACGCCCATGTCGGTCAGTATGAGTGTGTCCATTCCGACGGCAGTCAACTGGTGGTTACTCAGAGCTACTGGGTCACTCCACAGCTCTTCCGCAACGAAGTCTTCATTCCGCCGATGAACAACGTTAGCGTGCGCCTCGGCGACCCGGTCAAGATGGTGTGCAACGTGCGCTTCCATGCACTTCCTGGTTATCTGGCTGACCGGTTCCTGTGACGTAAGGGACGCTACTTGCTGTACGGGAAGTCCGTCAAAGACTTCGCCAGCCAGGTCAATCAGTGGAAGGACTTTAATGGTAGCTTTGCGTTCGGCTCTGTTGACCATTGTTCGTGTAACTCGAGGATGTTGATTGATCGGGTGAAACGGGAGCATGCCGGACGCTACGAATGCCGGTTCCGCATCAACGATCACCTGGATGAGTGGATCTTCCAGGAAGCGTATATTCACATAGGTTGAATATAGGGGGCAAAAGTAAACGTGTTCCACCGTTCCCTTGTACTGCTGCCGTCACCCGGCTGGACTTTGACGTTGTGGCTGAACATGGCGCTTATGTACCGCGCCAGATTTAACCACATGTATTGCCGTAACGTCACACTCCAGGCGGGTGACGGCAGCAGTACAGGGGAACGGTGGAACGCGTTTACTTTCGCCCCTTATATAGAGTTTCTTGCCAGCGGTTTAGTACCTGTTTCCATTTTCCAGCTTGTTGGTAACTTTGATTTTTCTTTTTGTATGTGTACTTTTCATTATGACGTCGAGATATTTTGTTGGTCCGTTAACGAATAAACGAATAACGATTTTGAAAAATTCGTGCAGGAAATAGTTTTGCTTCTGTTAGTCTACAGCAATTGCAACTTCGGTGGCACCGAATGCACTTTGATGATACATGTGGCAGATACCTTTATCCGGCAATAGCTTGTTAAGACTGCGCCCGTAGAAACTAGGTGAAAGTAAGCAGATATGGTCTAAAATTCACTGGAGTGCAACGCATGTAACGACCATTTTACCCACACTTAAGCAGAATGATCTAATGTTAAGTGGCTGCAAATTTGGAAACGGTTAACACTGCATCGTTCTTTCGATACTGGTCCTATCCACTAAGCAATAAAATCAGTTGTTCCCGTAATTCAGTTCATTTTGAAGGCCACTACAGTACTTTCCATGCAATAGCCCGCTAGGTGAAAAAGCGGTGTAAACAAACTCCATGACTGTCCAAATTTCCAACGAACTTTATTTAAGAAATTTGAAAATTAGAAGTTAATTTAATGGATTCTATGGATTTTCCATGCAATCCCGCAAACCGTTGTTCCGGGTTGCAACACCATCCTACACTAGGCATTATACTCTGTAGTTTATGATCCCGAAGCGCGACCTCTTAAAAAAAGTTTTATAAAACATGTAATTGTTCACATAATCATGGCGCTCGGAGCACGAGGACTATTGTTGTTTACAACTAATTTAAATCTATCGTTGTTAAATTATGTATGTGAAAATAGGTACAACGTTGTACCTATTTTCACATACATAATTTTCACATACATAGCTATGAAAGACACATACTTGTACAGTTAACTGTACAAGTATGTGTCTTTCATAGCTGATAATTTACGCGGGCTACGTAATTATGCAGCACGTAAAATGTACTGTACTGAGTGTACTGTTTTGTTGGGTGAAATTAGCCCAGAGCCCTAATTTATTGTAAATATGCTCTTACCGCACAGCACACTTTGAGTTTATTACGGCATCTTACCTTTTCCGGCCAAATTCTACCCGCCAGTACAATTAAATCAGAAATTTTCATATTTGGTTCGTAACATACAGATACATACATTACGTTTAATTAGGTAAATTCTGTATGACTTTGCAAGACTTTAAGTTGGGAAATGGACAATAATGCAGCAGGCAACTTAATGCAATAATATAATTATTCAAAGCTTTATATGAGTCTTGACTACCGACGCGCATGTGTACAGAGTACCGGGACGAGCCGCTACGGGATACACGCTCTTGGATTCAAAGATCTGCGGATGTTGGTAACAATAATTAAAAAAAACGTTACAGCAGTGTGCTCACCGCCATTTGGCGCACACATCGTAACCGGATTGATAGACGAAATGATGATGTAAATTCCCAAGAGTCAGCGAATAGTTCCGCCTGATGTGGCGCACGGAGGCATCATACGTCGGTTGGGCCAGACAGTTACCGCGACTGGCGCCGGCGTGAATCAAGGTTTACCTTCTTTTTGTGTGCAATTTGGTTAGGAAAAACGGCATGGTTGCTAAAAACGAAATTGATACATTAAACAAATCGCAAAAATCGTCTGCAACTGACGCACTCCAGGCCGGCATTGCGAAGTCGCCAGGTCTGATTTCTGTAGCGCAAAAGCTTTTGATCCGATAGTATGGATAAAGTCATGCTGCTACAACTAAAAGGCTGCACTACTGTCCGTACTTTTGTATCCAGGCGGGAAAATAAAAAACACAATTAATCAGTTGTTTGGGTGCACCAAAAACAGAATGTTTCCCGGCTTAATGGGAAAAAAGATTTTGAATAGCGCCGGTAAAAACTAATTTACGCGCCGTGGCATCATAATATCTAATAATGACATCGCTTGTCTACCTATGTATTGTGAGCTTTCTTTCTGTATTTGGTCAACAGAAAATTTTGTAGCCTTTCAAACAAATACGAGGTCAACATTAAACAGACGTGAAAACAGCAGACCGTATAAAATGCGAAGGAGCTGCGACTTTTGAGCGGCTAACCTAACCAACAGTTTCATTTTTTCACAAATTACACATCGTCATAAGTTTTAAAACGTAGGGAATACTTGTAACTGCTTCACGTACAATAGTAGTGCATTCGCGTTGCGCCAATGTAATAATACATATCTGTATTACGAAAAGTCAGACATCTTTCTGGCTGGTATATCTTTACGGCCAGTGCAGCGCACTACGGTTCATAACGGGTATGTTAAAAACGGAGCTGTGCAGCGCGGAATCTTGAATACGTGCGGTATGGTTGCTTTGACCATTCGGAGCGTAAATAAGCTCCGGCTCGTGATGACACACGTTACCAGGCGTTATCTACTGCGCATTAAGCGCAAAAAACCAAGTGGCGTTGGAATTTGGAAAGATACGGGAATGTTTGAATTTTCGCATTCTGTGCTTCGCATTTCCTATACACGGAACTCGCAATAATTCCTGCGTATACCGACATTTTAGGAGTACATCTTTTTGTAAAACGAAAACCCTTACACATTTCTCTACAGACAAGGTGGCATGAAAAAACCGGATACGCAAACCGTTAAAAACTCGAACCAAACCAAAAAAGGAATGACTGATGCAGCCTACTAAACTAAAGCAGTAAAGATGTTGCAGTAATTAAGTTACACTCTAATATTTCTGACAACCGATTTATCCGCACCATGCTACCGACCGTCCATTACGAATTGTGAGGAGTATCACCACTAGGCAGTCCCTTGACAGGTCCTTCACTACCAGAACTCACGTACGTCTGGCAGAAGTTGGACGAGAAAATGCCGGGTAATACGTGACAGGTCCGCCAGCTGCAGACCGTCCAGACCGTCAACACACCACATCTTCCCGCGGTAATGCGCCGACGGACGCGGATCAGCCGACTGCAGCGCGCACAACATCTTCAAAAGAAACAACAGTAAAGTAATTAAAGTAAAATAAGAAAAGTGCGTTCAATGCCAATGAAGCAAAAAGTAAAGCAAGTTCCATGCCGTTCAAGGCGGAAAACCACACTCCATAACACGACAACCCGTAACTGTGATCTTACCGTGCAAACGGCTTTCAGGATTCTTTCGTCCGCATAACGCTGCAGCCAAAATAAAAGACCTGGCAGCGCCTGCTCATTCGGTTCGGGCAGCGCCGTGTCCATTGCCTCCCACAGTGCGCAGCGGAAATCACGATGCATCGGCAACTGCGCTGTCGGAATGTCTATCTCCACCGGGATGAGTTTCCGTTCCCAGCGGTCTGATCTGAGTACAAAATAGCAGCAGAGCAGATGAATAGCGCAGTGGCTCAAGTGGACGGCATCACAAGGCAAACGGCAGCAGGCGGTTACGAAGTCCTCCAGTTTATACAGAACGCGTTCGTCGATGGCCGCCACCGTTTCCGGATCCGGCTGATGCAGGGCACATTTACCACTGCCCGACATGCCAATGGCGCCGTTGATCTGCAGGTCCAGAGAGAAACGGCTGACATGCAGACTACGCAGACGGATGTCGGGATGGTGGCGAGCCACATAGTGAATCATGTCGCACATCATCAACACGTGGACGGTGCTCATCGGCCAGTGTTTGTAGCTGCCTGTCTGCATCATCACGTGCTGCGTGCCTGGTTGCAGGCATTTGTACAGGGTTGCCAAGCGGAGGAGAGCGGTAAAGTTGCACTCGAAATCGGCGCAGTCTCCGATCACAATACAACCACGCAGCGCTGCTTCACCTATCGCCGTGTTCCACGCGGCGCACACCGCGCGCAGCCTCATCTGCGTCACCGTTTCCAAGTTGGAAAACACTTGCTGCCACAACTGCGGCGACAACGGCATGTCGCTTGTAGCCGGGATCTCGTCCACCGCAGACAGCCTGAGCAGCTCCGCCTGGAAACTGGCCAGCGACGCCTGGAAACCGAACAGTACACGTTGTCGTCAACCAGTTAATTTCATCAGAAACCATTCGTCCTTACCAGGGCTCGCAAACCTTGGGGATCGTATATTCCAGAAGCTTCCAAACGGGGCTGACAAATGTAACCCAAACGACTGTCCACGACCTCCACGACGTCCACTTCACATGGAAAGGGAAGGCTACGCACTTCATCGTCATTTAGTCGCTGGATGAGCTCCTCAGCTTTCTCAGTGGACAACGCGTGAAATGCAGTGTCCAGGGACACAGTACGCTTGACGAAGGTCTGCGAACGGACGTAACGGTGCAGTGGCAGTGCGCTCGTCAGCGGCCATCGGATGCGTTGACTGGGGATGATGTCCTCGCAGCGAACTCCGTTGTCCTTACGTCGCCAGTGGACGATGGCGCCTCCATACTCTTCCACCGACCCGCTGCGTCCCAAACTGATTGCTAGGCCAGGGAGCGGCGTCTCCGGCACATGGATTTCCACGTGAAATGTTGCGAATTCTGTAGAAAACGTGCGCTGCGGATCCTTTTTGCTCGTCTCGCGCGGCGAAAAGAGCCTGTTGAATGGGACGTATTCCCTTCGCCGATTGGGATAGAGCAGGTCGACGAAGAGACCATTTTCGGCCACATCTACCACACGCCCGTACCGCATCAGCCCGTCGTCGCCGAGAATGTCCACACTGTTAGCGTAGTTCATTAGACTTAACATGGTGGATCGTTGAGGTAAAGCAGGAAATGGGCGAACCACGGTTCTTGTTCCACACCAGCGCGGAAATCCACTACAACCTATTCCACCCAGCAACTCGACGAAGAAACAGAATTAAAAGAAATAGAAAATTTATTAGCGAATGATGAAAATTGCAGAAGTGGCGTAGCAAAGCAGCCCGTTAATTACGACCGCACTAAAGTAAATTGTAGAAGTTGCATATACTGCACGGCTTGATTGGCTTAGTGTACATGCACATCGCATCATTGGTTCCGCGGAAGGCTATATAATCTATTTCCGAAAAAAGGGAGGAGCGCGATACTTAATACGGTCTGCCATCGCCATGCCACATTGGAAGAAGCGCGGGCACGCCCATCTTACAAAAAATTATGTTCATCTGCTCATAGCCTGGTCATTGGTGGTAATACGACTTCGGCGTTTGAACTGTAGAGCTTGGGTTCGAGTTCCCGATGAGTAACTTTTATCTTATACTGACGCCGGTCAACACTCCACACCACACCAGAAACGTGCTGCCGGCGGCGGGTGGGAAGGACGGGGTGAAGCGGGCCAGCAGGTCGGCATTGATGGCATTGACGGAATGCAATATGCGTATTTCCTCCAACTGAATCGTCAGCTCATGACCGAAAAACTGTAAAAAGGTTATGAAAAACTAAAAAACTGGAAAAGATTATCCAAAACTGTGTAACTGTCAAAAGATTGCTCTTACTAGGGCAAATCAGTTAAAGAGCCGATTACGGCATCCAGCATGATCGACTTGTATTTGGACAGACGAACTGTGACGGCAATTCGGGTACGTTTTTGGACAAAGCCGCCACGCGTTGCAGACCGACAGATTGTCCTTCGGTCGCGTCCAGCGACGGTTGATTCCCAGGAAAATTAGCGAGACGCTTAAGATAGCCGCCAGAATGACGGCCGCTAGAGTGACCATGTAAGCCAGTATCCGGGTCAAAGCCGTTGTAAGCACCCCTCACCAACCGGATGGATTTTAAATGAGCAGTTGGGGACGGATGCGGTTTTATCCATCCCGACATGACGTCATCCCCGAGCATGCGTTAACCTTCTGCAAAAGATTATAAAAAGCAGACATTAGGACATGACCGTGGCACTTTGTTCCCAGCAGGCATCCACACAAAGTAGACCATCGAGTTATTTACATTAGAAAATTATTTGCGGCATGCTGCTGCTTGTTTATTACATCCACAGGAAGTACACTGTACAGTGTACATATCCACACAGTAGCAAATGTTTCTTTTACTGGTCCGAGTGCTGCATGTGCCGGACGCTCTCACGTAGACAGTTCACGCAATATTACCGTATATCTTTAAACTAGAAAACATTTTATCGATAAGAAAGGACAGATACAGATTTCTTTATGGAGAAAATTTTATTAGACAGCACATTTCCCAAATCGGCTACGCAAAAATGTCGAAATCGGGCGCTATACTCTGGTGTGTAGCGTCTAGGAGCATTAATTCGGTATTTATTTTCTCTTTCTGGCATCTCTATCATGCTGGAAATAAAAATTAACATTTTGTGTAAATTCAGAAATTATGCGTTGATTTTGGTGGTTTCGGTTGTTTTGGAGACAAACCTACTAACTAGAGCTGTGTAGTTAAGTAGGTAATAGACTCTTTATAGGGACTAAGTTTAAGTTACAGGGAGTAGAAGCTACGCATCAAGCTCCCGCACCAAGGCGGTTGCCGGTTTTATGCACCGGAAGTTACCAGAAGCTCTATTAGTCGCGCGAGGGTTTTTGGAAAGCTTTACGAAATAATGGTCTGATGTGAGCGTCATTTCTAAAATAAGAAACAAAAGCTGTGCGCATCGTAAACACTTTATTGAATTTATAAAAATAATAATGTTGATTTGCCAGTTAATGCCAAAGTATAGAAAACTCATCACCTCTGACTATGTTGAGCTGTTCTCTCGTAAGCGATAATAACTAAAAAAATAACGAGAAAAACAAGGTAAAATAGTATCAGCCAGAAAACAGCAGCGTGAAACAAAATAGCCATTAGTTAAAACATGGACACAAACGTTAACGTTGATTACACTAATTCGGTTTTTTGTTAAATATTTGCCCTAAGCAGACTGTTGTAGAACAGGCATAAAATTTTCTGCACTGCCAAACGTAGATAATTTTCCTAAAGGTAATATTGCCATATTGTTGCTGTATAAATTAATTAGGACAAGATGTCAGCGAGACTTACCAGCCCAGACAGTTGGAGCGTGGGTTAAAAAATACTGTAATTGTCGGGATCCCATTGACTGGTTCGCCATGCTTGACAAACTTGCAATCCAAATTTCAAACGGCCCGCGCTCAAGCTCTGACTCTGACTCAGACTCTGACCGCTCAAACTCTGACTCTGACTACTCAAAGTCTGACTCTGACTGTCCAAACTCTGACTCTGACTCTGACTGGATAACCTAAGAACAACTTAAGAAACCTAAGAAAACTAAGAAAACTAAGAAACCTAAGAAACCTAAGAAACCTAAGAAACCTAAGAAACCTAAGAAACCTAAGAAAACTAAGAAACCTAAGAAACCTAAGAAACCTAAGAAACCTAAGAAACCTAAGAGACCTAAGAAACCTAAGAAACCTAAGAACCTATTAAGAAACCTAAGAACCTTCAGAGTCAGAGTCAGACTTTGAGCGGTCAGAGTCAGACTTTGAGTAGTCAGAGTCAGAGTGTGAGTGGTCAGAATCAGAGTCAGAGTTGGAGTCTAGGCCATTTCAAACATATTAATTAGGCTTGCGAATCACAGCACCACAACGAATTCCATCAAGATTTCTGGATAAGGTGAACATAGTTTCTTGTCCAACAAATAAGTTAAAAAGTTTTTCGTCATTTTAGCAAAAGTTTTTATTAATGGTACATGAAAATGAAACGCGACGGCAAGCTTGGGTAGAGACGCCGTTGCTGATGCCAAAATAATGATATCATGCAAAAATTAAGCCCAGCGTTAGCTGATCTGGCCGTTTGCATGATGCGACGGCAGTCGACCAGTCGTAACAGATCGTAACAGAATATGCGATCGTATATGCGGTCGTAACAGATCTGGCATCTGCTTTGGCATAACAGATTTGGCATCTGCTTACGCAGATGCCAAAGGACGCATGTAACGCGGCTTACTGCTTCCTGGTAATGAGAATGCCGATGATATACGTAACTCGTGTTAAGATATCGGCCACCGGCTCGCGTTTCAACGGTCATCTTATCCCAAGCTTGCTACGCAGGTAACTGTACCTTAAATTCGCCGTGAATCAGTGACACGCTTGCACTTGAGAGACCATGATTCATTCATTGTTCATGGTGCAGTAGAAAAATTACTTCTACATAAATTATTTATTATTTTGGATCAGCAGACTGATACTATCGGCATCATATATATACTCGTAGATATATATGAGCTGGACGAACGCAAGGGAATTCTTCGTGCCATTCAAAATGATCGCAAGTTTTGGCTATTCACCTGCATTCTTTTTAAAAAAAGTGTACCTTCACCGAATGAGGTTGCAAAAGAAAAATGATGGTACATATTTTACTTTAATAACAACAACCGCACACACGTTGCACAGCCCTCTATGTGTATAGTTGCACGTTGTACTCTGTATGTATAGCGGAAGCCCAGTATCTGTACAGTATACCCGAGGTATGCAGGCAGTTAAAAATGCATAAATTGCTTACATTGTAATACATGTAAATTAAATTAAAGCGTAAGCTTACTATGTGTTTTGAACAAAAGTTTTGCAGCCGCATTCTAAGAGAATCTTCCAGAGAATCACTAAATATTTGGTGTAGAAGAAGACTGTCATCAACTAAATGAACGGCTTTTATGTATTACGTGATATGAAACGGAAACGTTACCTCGTATCACATTGGTTTCATTTTTGATTGATGCCTGTAATTTGGGTATTCTCCATAAAATATAACGTATCCGCTATATTATAGTACATTCAAAGAATTTTTTTAGAAGGTGTGAGTGGATTTATGTCGTTTGTTGTGTGAATTTATTTCTTAATGTACGCGTATTTTTTACGTATTGAGAAGGAGTATTCCGGTGCTATGTCGAACTGTGGAATGTGGAACCGATCATGAATAATTAATTGGGCAAATGAAACTGAAGAGTGGTGGTTTTTGAGAGCTTATCAGGCGGCGAAACATTTCTTAGCTTCCGCAGCCAGCAACCCATAACAATAAAGGAAATGCTGCTGTTTACTGGTTTTTTTACACATAGGTCGCATGGCTAGGCTGCAAGTGCCTGCGTAACTTTACGACGCAGATAAATGGAAGACCGCGTAATAACATCGTGATATGACCAGGACATTTCAGCGCACAGTTTATTTTTTAAACCAGATTTGACACCTTGTTCCATATTCCCCCAATCTGCTACCGCACGCACATTTTGTGTTCTCACCGTGGACAGAAATGCAAATACATATATGGCTAAGCCACCCCATATTTGTGATGTTTTTCCAAAAAAACAATGGTTGGGACGGCGCAATAGCAACGTTTCAGTAAAACGACTTTGATATAAAAGGTACACAAGATAACTAAATATTTTCCTTGAGCTACCGATATAGCACAGACTGTAGGTGGCACTATGTGCGTAACACCAATATTCCTACAGATATTCCTGACCGGTCCAGGATAAAGTATGAACTTCCCGTTCAAAGGCATCACAATAACAAGTTAGAATAACACATATACAATAAGGATAACTGCAGCAGCAGAATATGGGCGTATTGACTATTGTAGTGTACATAAAATAGTCCGTCAGTCATTTTTTTTATATTTTCAGAAAATCAATTGCACTAATCCTTAAACCGTACCGTCTTTTTATCCACGCAGAAAGCCAGTGCTGCACAATTACATGCGTCAGTTCTGACACGAAGCTTTAATTTGAACAGCCGGATTGTGAGCTTGCAGCAAATCTTCATGCAAAGGACGATAATATTTATTCAGTATTCCACGAAAGAAAGCTATCTGCACTGAAATTTGTGCATCGTATCGGTGCGAATAAGTGATGGTGCTAGCACAAACAGATTCTTCTTTCGAGTTGCAGAAAAAATCATTCGCTAAAACATGATCCGATTCACTTTAACAAATACAATTATGAATTTTGAAGTCGATTTTCGTTAATCACATGCGTTAAAATACAATATCCACAAAATACCTACGACAGCAACATGCATACTAATTATCCGTTTAATTGAGCCGGTTGTCAGTTCGAAAGCAGCAGGGGTTTCGCGGATGTACTGTACTTCTTCAGGAAATAGATGCGCAGAACATCATACGGGGAATCATATCACACAGAAGCAAGGAAACGAAAGCGCTTCGGCAAGGTACAAGAGGCAAAAGGTGGTTAGTGGTTACGGTGGGCTGATTCTGGCATCCGGCGTAAATACGGCATGCGGCGGGGAATATAGAAGCCGATGTTAATTCCGAAATCCGACGGAATCTTGCAGTTTCGGTTCACACGATAACACGGCGGGCGATGCAATTTTCGGGACGTTTCTTTTCGGGCGATGCAATTTTCGGGACGTTTCTTATAGGTATCTGTACCACGAACTCGCTCGAAGTGTCGCTTTCATGCCGAATTAGTGGGACCTTGGGGTTTAGGTCGACGGCCGCCGTTTACGAAACCCGTTCGATGCATGGAACGGGCTCCGTATTGGCTGGGCGATGATGATACCTACAGCAATGTGATTACACTTTGTAACTAGACTGTGTTTCCGGAATTCGCTTTACGTCTGCGTCTTAAAAATTGTGAAAGCTAAATTTTCCTAATTGGTCGGATGGCTTTAAGCTAAAATTTATTAAGGTTGACGAGGTTGACGGTACACTTAATTTATTAAGGTTGACGGTACAGGTCAACTGAACCGGTGGATTTCCCATTACGCACAAAGGAAACACCATGCTCTGCAGCTGGCGGGTTTTGCGAGCCGCACTCCGGCGTCAAGGATCATTCCAGCTACCTCAGCGACCACTTCGAGCGAGTTCACAGTAACACATATGATTCTTTTTCGTTGCCGGTTATCGTTGGACTCGTAACAGGAACAGATTTTTATACCATCGGGCACAATTATTACAGAAGCGGTGACTTCTTTTGCATTATCCTTTACAAAAAAATATAAAAAATTAACATGTCTCATTTTGAAAAGAAGTTTATGTTAGCCGGATTTCTTTTTGATTAGAAATTACACTCAAAAGTATCAAACATATCAATATTGCATACGTTCGAACTTTTTAAATGTAATTATAATTTCTAGCCTAAGTACAGTATTTATACAACTGGTGCATCTTCAAAGCCAGACATTTTTTTCAAACAGCGTCCTTACGAAAATAATAATCGTGCCCGATGCTGGAGACAGAATGATAACTAAGCAGCAGATACCAACCGAATTATTTCAGGAGGGTGAATTCGGCGGCTGCACGGTTCCGTCTGCCCAGCGAACACAACGATCTTTACACTCCTTCTTAACAGATTCCTTGATGCATCCCATGTGCCATACACACTTCACCAGGTTGCCGTACATCCAAATCGTGCACACCGTTAGCAGCAGCAGAAGACCGGGCAGCTGCAGACATTCGGGCACAAACAGCCCCACCAGGGAATACGGGAGCACCAAGCCGGTGACCAACGGGCAATGGCGGTTCATCGCAACAGACCACATATGACTCAGCGCCTCGCACACACAGGGTTCCGTTGTCTTAGTGGCTTTCATAAGTTTTACCGTAACAACCTTCGATCCACATTTGACTGATACTGGCGAAACTTGGGAGTTCTTTGCTTCCGGGATTCTTTGGGTGGAAATAATGTCCCCATGTGAACGATCGCACGGCACGGTATCGATAGTAGGCTTCGCAATGTTAGTTGGTGCAGGAAAGCAATCTGATGGTGCGTTGTCCGGTGCACCGGGTTCTTCCGCCGCAACGTCTACAATCAGCAGCTGCGCCCTGTACCTGAAATAACGAACATGCCGGTTGACAAATGGGTTCGCTACTCCTGCAGTATTTGTGCTGCGCCCGGGGAAATGGCCCGGTATTTGTTTTGAAAACAATCAAAACCATGATCCGAGGGAGTTTTTCGTAGATATTTTAAAGTTTTCCAGATTCATTAAACAATACAATTATGGGTCGTTTGGAAGAAAAAAAGGAGACTGGATGGTAGATAATTTCCTCGAGTTTTAGCACACATATCCAGCAACCGGATATTGCGCACGAAAACGCCGTTTTCATGAACAGTGTTGTCATAATACAAAATTGTTCACGAAGCTTAACTCGGCGGATCAGCTTACGACAGCGTTAACGCACAAAGTTGTTATTTAGTCGCGCAATCATTTCCAAAGTCCGAGGAACCGGTGTCAAGGATAATGCCACTTAACCTGTTGTCGGCCGTCAAATTTCGTTGGTCAAGAACATGCCGACGCCATTTGTTACAGCAGGCCTGTACACCGCGATATCCGAGCAGGCCACCGGCGACCAGGACGGCGATGCCAACAATGATATATTCCGCATACTGCACCGCCATAACCGGTATGCCGCTGGCCGCGGACAGTACTCCACACCATACCAAGTACGTCCAGCCGACGGCCGGTGAGAAGGACGGAGTGAAGCTGAGCAGCCGCTCAGTATTCCAGTTCCTAGGTTTTGAACGCAGTTCCTCGGATTGCAGATCCACCCAGTATGAGAGCATTGCTGTCCCTTGGTCGAAATACTGTAGAAAGATAATATTACTTTCTCCCCTAGGTACAATAAATCGATGAAATCATGCAAAATACTGTCGAATGTCGATATGCTGTTTAAGCTATAAGTAGAAAAAAAAACCTGGAGTGCAATATAAGAATTAAGAATATTTATATACCCGCCTAACGCGCCATCATGTGGAATGCCCCATCATGCTGTGAAGAAACGGAAACATTACAACATTACGAAGAATCAGACATCTTTCTCTGTTGGCTGGTATACAGCAAGTGCAGCGCACCATGGTGCATAAGCTATGATTCATAGAGATAAGAACGGGTATGTTAAAAAACGGAGCTCTGCAGCGCGGTATCTCGAATACGTGCGGTATAGTTGTTTTGACCATTCAGAGCGTAGATAAGCTCCAGATCGTGATGACACACGTTACCAGTCGTTTCTACTGCGCATAATGCACAAAAAACCTACATAGGCGTTGGAAGATACCCGAATGTCTGAATCTGAGCATTATTTGTTTTCTGTAATGCCTCGACTGAGTTTCTAGGACTGTACAATGATTCGTACATTTGCATAGCACATGTTATGAAAAATGTGGACGCTTACTGTTCCGTGCTTGGTGCAAGTTCCTGTTGCATTAAAAGAATGCCAGTACGTCCAGTTGGCGCTGCCGGTCTCGCTCTGCCACTGCATGACGATGGGAAATTGCTGAAATAATGGCCATGCGTTGAAATAGACAGCAATACATCCAAGGAAAAAGGCTGACAAGCTGCAGACTGCCCTTTTCCGGTGCTGCTGCCTTTTGTTTTCATCTGTGCCCGCAATTCCATTTTCTTGAGAGCGATTGATCGATGGACGTCTCTCGGTAGATTGTGCAGCAACCAATTTTCTGTAAATGATTTCATAAGTTCAGGGAAATACTATAATTTTTTCATTCCTGTACTCGCTTAAAGTGTTACAGCAAGTGACTCATTCAGGTTAGAAAAATTAATGATATTTAAGCGGCGATGCATATGATGCACAGATCCCTCGAAATGGTTTTCGTGCCCACGGCTTTGCGAATAGTAGCTCCTTAAAACTTGTAAATGGCGTTAAAAATTGCGGAAGCAAAGTATTGCCCTACTAAGTACTATGGGTACTAAAAACACATACGATCCTTACGTATGGGCTTTAATCGTACGGTATACGAGACTTTTCGGCGTTAAAACTACCAGCTAGCAAAAAACTTTACTACCTGGTACCTTATTCCTTTTTTCATCAAAGCAAGATAGCTCTCATTCATCCACAATCCCCATATTCTGCCGGTACAATAAAAAGCCAGTATGCTGGCGAAGAGGATACAGCCAGGAAACACCGCGGATGGGCCACAAACAGATACGGTCAGTATAACACACAGCCAAAGAAGCACCACCGGTATGGCACTACACACCATCCAGCTGGCATAGTAGAGAATAAAAGTGATTGCGCCAGCCATCGCAGCCAGCATGATCATCAATATGCTAGCAGGTCCATGCCTCTTGCCAGCCGCCGGTCGGTGCCTCTGGATAAACGCCTCCACTTGAAGACAACACGGCAGATGGTCCTTCGATATGGGATAGGTCCAGTGGCGATTGATGTATACCAGGTAAATCAAGGAGCCGCTTAAGAGAGTCGTCAGGATGATGGTAAGGAAGGCGGCCATGTACCCGATGATTTGGTTGGAAACCGCCGGAACGTCCACAACCTGCCTGAACGCTTCCGCACGGGCCACGGTGATCGGATGCGGTGGTGTCCATCCCGACATGACCTCGTCCCAGAAGCAGTCATTCACCTCCTGCAAGAGAGTGCAAAAACAGTTTGGCGCAATGTTTAGTGGTTTCCTTGTCCTTGCAGAAGCTTGTTTAATGCACCAGTGAGTGGTGTGTTTAAAATTCAATGGCTGCCTGTTTTCTTCGATTTCTGCTTTGATTTGTTAACAAATAAAAACTGCTTTCAAAAAACTGGTACAGGCCAGATGGAGAAATATTTATAGTTTAACTGCAGATGACACTGCATGCTGCCACACTGAGGCGCTTGCCAGCTTCCAGAGCTTGGAAGTTACCTTATTATTTTGTTCACGATGTTCAAAAGTAAAATTCTGCTGTAAATGTTGGGTCACGAATGACTGACAAGAACTGTACATACCGTGCAAAACCCATTAATATTAAATTCAAATTCAGGCAGCTATACAAATACTTTAATCTGCATACGACTCGAACATGTCTGCTACCGCAACATATTATGTTGTTTTCCCTGCTGAATTGAGATTGTAAGCAGTGGATAGTAACATAGTAACGAGGAAAAAAAACACAATAAAATTAATGAATGTTAGCCGGAAAATACCCGTGTGAAATCCAGCAGCCATTGCTTGTCTTTGAGAAGCTGGTTCTTAATTAATTTGTATAAATTACAAAATTTAATGTTTGTAATTTAATTTAATTACAAAATTTAACGTAAACTGCAGTACACAGACCGCATAGAAATGGAACCAGAGACTTACAAGTCCGGACAGTTTGAGCAGGGAATGGAAATAATTATCCGTGTCGGGGTCAAATCGGCTGGCTCCCAATTCTGGAAGAATACGCAATCCGAATTGCAAACAAATTTGGCAAGCGAACCACAGCACGAATGTGGACTCTGTCAAGATTTCTGGATAGGACGAATACGACTCCTTTTCCAAGAAATAAATGACAAACTTTTTGATCGACATTTGAACAAAAATTATATTGTCACTTGAATCAGCCGACTGCCAAATGATGTGAGCGAATGCAGATGTACCAGTTACTGAAAGTGACGGAAATCTCGAACGGAGTGGCGACCCGTTTGTTGGAGCATAAAGATGATGTCATGCAACAATAAGAGCCTGCAAGAGACTTTTATACACCACGGGCCATAGACATTGGCGGTCGCATAATAAATTACCGGAATATGTACTCGTACGAGTACAGGTCATGATCTGCTCGTCTGGGCGCTGTATCTGGTTGACCGGGCCCGTTTTACCACGCTGATTAACGGCATTGTACAATTGTAAAACCGGACGCCTTCGACTTCCGTTCAGAGAATTTATTTTAAGTAATTAGTTTTGAGATTGGACAAATTAAATTATAAAATATAAATTTGAAAAATGAAATAATTGACCTAAATAATAAAAATAATGAGATGCTTGGTAGTTGTGTCTCTAATGAAGGACAAGTGGTCAACGGGGAAATTGATTTTTAGGACTGTTTGTAAAACAATCGCTTGTTGTTTAATGTGTTCTTGCAAACATTAGCGATAACCAACACTGTTGGTAATTAACTTCACCTTGAACGAACCGATCAACTTGACTGATAGAAGGCCGGGTATATGGGAACAGATAACTAATATGCGCTGACTCCATAAAATCGTAATCAGTACATTTACATTTCCGACAAAAAATGAAATCGCTGAGAATCTGTGACAGCTGATCGGCCGTCGACAATAGTATGAGTGACAGACTTGCACTACCGGCTTCTTTGGAGCCGGAAGCACAAAGCAGCAATTCCGTGTTTCTGTTCCTGTATGGCGTTACGATCGATTGGTTGTAATATACATTTTCTATTTACGCAAAAGCACTTTCGCAGTATTAGGAGATTAGGAGTAACTAATGCGATATTCGGGTAAGGAATTCGAAGGTACGCAGAGAACATGAAAAACTATCATTCGACTCCTCGATCGACTCTGATTTCGTGATAGTTTAAAAGTGAGCAGGAAATGAGATGCGAGGCAAATCGGCGCCAAAACACCAGATTTTCGTATTTAAATCGTTGATCATAATTATGATAATGATGATGATAATGAATATTTTAATTCTGTAAGAAGATTTCAGAGGCTTTGCGTTTGCTTTACCTCTGTAGCATGCGACACATTGTTCATTTTCGGCTACTTTTGAACTGATAGCGCAAGACCGACTAATTGAACAGTAAGCTTCACGTTCCTTAATGTTGTACTGCATGGTGTATTGTGCTTTATGTGCAGCACAGTGTGTGATATTTACTACATATTTCGGCAGAAATAAGTTGTTCACTTAAAATCCCGTTTAGAGTCTTTAGACCAATATATAACTTTTCTTTTGCGTCCTTTGAAAAATTTCCGCACGCGCGAGTAGTGCAGTACTTTCCCAATACTTTCTCAAATGACCGAAGCGGAAGTGTGGTACAATTCGGCTGTTCCGAGAATTCGGAAATTTATGATAATGTAGTAAATATGTAGCAGATTTTAACAGCCAAGGGTACACTGTGTCAATTCAAAGTTTCTGTGGATTGGACGCGTTGCACGCAATGTTTCTCAATAATTTTATTTCAGGATATAATGTTTTAAACGGCACATGAAATTTAAATTGCAAAGCTGTTGCAGGCTTGCAGCGATCAGATAATTACGGCCATGACGAAAAGTCCTCGTTTTTTTTACTTTCCGATTCTTTCCGTATGTTCCTATATACTTGGACAAGACTCATCAGACAAGTCGTTTTAGCTTTAGCAAAGAACAGGATAAAACATCAACAAAGTTGTAGAACATGCTGGTTGCAGCCGGAATCTTAACTTTAGCACAGCCTCCTTACATATTATAATGATTTTACCAGAATTCCGAATCATTTGAAACGTCTAGTAATCTGCATTGCAGCACACCGTATGGATGATAACGGTTCGAGTAAAACAATTTCTGGGACGGCAGTAAATCAGTATGATGGAACTTATTTACCGCTAATTCTTGCCAATTACTTGTGTCCAGATGTAGTACCATAAAATAACGAACGCATGCACGTCAAATCCGCGTGCATAATACATATACACTGCATAACAGGGCAAGTCGTCGGAAATGAAAGTAGCCGCGGTTTCACGGGAACATTCCTTCCGTAAGTGACAGAAGGAACGCGACACGGAGAAAGCATGGATGAGAAAGCACTTTGGGCGTTGTCGTCTAACGGTGGGCTTGTAGTGAACCGGGAAATGGCATTATGAAGCGGGAAATACGGGAGTTAACACGGAGATTTTCCATAATCGATAATGATAATCATGGTGACAATCCTGCGGGTGATGCTCGTCTTCGGAACTCTTCAAATCTTGTACTGTAAACTCGCTTGAACTGTCACTGTTATTGCGCCAAAGCAGTAAGTACCGAGCGTTAATCTTACGACAACGTTCGTGACCTGCACAAATCAGTAGACACGGGGTGGTTCTTAGGCTGTGATTTGAAGAGTTTTAATTTACGGGTATGTTTTGGATTCCACTGGACTGTTTATTAATTATTTACACGTATCAATCTCACCATGTTGAGAAAACAGAGTTTTAAAAATGGCCTCACTGATGCATGCGAATAATTTTCAAGGTAGATTCTGCGTTTAAATATGTAGGTTTTTAAGGTCTAGCGCAGTAGAAGTATGTCCATCTGAAAGCCGGGCGGCTGTGCGGGCTTTCTACCGTACACCTAAATCAAAATTTTCACCTCAACGAAACTTAATGTTATCCACACAGCGGACGTTATGAGTCCTAACCCAGACTGTGTGGGTGAGAAGCGACTCGGTAGTGGACGCCTCCTAACTCAGTGACCACTTCAAGCAAGTTTACAGTAACAATTGAAATAATTCCACAATATCCTTGCCGGCAACCGTTGAACGCATAATACAGACGGGGCCACACGACATCGGGCACAATTATTATTATGGGCACGAGAAACGTGGAAATGCTCGAATAGCGGAGCAGAGCGAATGCTTAAGAAATTGTGGTTGCAAAAATTAATCAAAAATTAATATTAGTTTTTGTATCTTCGTATTAACTTAAAAATTTTAAGCAGACTAGCAAATACTGTTTACTATTTAGTATTAATCGGTATTTGCTATTTTGCTTAGCCAAAGCTCGGAATTTGAAAGGCTAAATTAATTTTTACCAAACAAAAAATTAAGCCTTTCTGAGGATCGTAACAATCATAAACGTGCCCGATGTCGCAAGGCTATTAAACACTGAACCGGCGCGGAAACCAACCCAACTATTTCATGCGAGGCGGTTGTGCAGTTGACTGCTTGGGGCGGGTGGTCGCTGTACCGCCTCCACAGCTGGCACGCCGGCACTTCGATTCCGCTGTAATGGACTGCACACCGCAACACATCTCCCATACAAACTTCACCAACATGCCGTACATCCACACTGTGTACGCCGTCAGCAGCAGCAGGAGCCCGGGCAGCTGCAGTTCTTCAGGCAGTGACAGACCCACCAGGGAATACGGGAGTACCATGCAGACTAACGGGCAATGAGCGCCCAGCACGATCACCCAGGTGCTGCCCAGTTGTTCACAAAGGCAAAAAGGTGCTCTGGCCTCTGCGGCGACAATATTCGCCGTGGAAGCCATGGGCGGCGGATCGATAGACATCGGCGCACCGTGTTCGCTCTTAGTTTCAGCCGTTACTTGGTCGCTTGGTGTATTCCCTTCCATAGGATCGGATGGCGCAATGCCTGTACCATTCGCTGCCACGTCAGCTGAAACAGGCGTTTTATCTGATGGCGGGATGTCCAGTACTCCGGTCGCTTCCACCGCAACGTCCGCAGGTAGCAGTTGCGACTTGTCCCTAAATTAAAATACAGAAAATGTGCGTGTCAGTGCGCCATTTTAAAATACAGAAAACGTGCGTGTCATTGTGGCCAGCGACAGACAACTGGCTATTGTTATTGTTCACAGGATCGTCACGTAATGCGATACTGAATTATGTGCCGGCCGGTTATTGGACCTTGAGACGGAGCTTACTACGACGCTGAGATGCCTGCAAGGCGTAACATTACCGTATACAGCCGTTTCTCAGTGTCATAGTTATTTGTCGAGCGCAGCCTGTGTCAAGGGTACTAACCTGTCGCTGGCCTCCGCGCTTCGTTGACCCATGACACGCCGACGCCATTTGCTGTAGCAGGCGCTCACCCCGTCGTAGAAAAGTAGTCCTCCGACGAGCAACACGACCAGGCCAATGAGGATCGCTTGCGCGTACTGCAGACCCGTGAACGGTACACCAGTGGCGCCAGACAGCACTCCACTCCACACCAGGAAGGCCCAGCCGACGGCCGATGGGTAGCGCGGGGTGAAGCTGGCCAGCAGCTCGGAATTAGAGGTGTGCAAAGAGCGCAGCTCCTCCGATTGCAAATCCACCCAGTATGAGAGCATCGCCGTGCCTTGATCGAAATTCTGGAAAAGACATAATTCTCTCACCATACTTTATGAAACGAGGGTTTTCCAAATTTTTTCTGTTGGCAGTAAGCCGGAAACTTGACATTCCAGAGAGTACTGGAGTTTCGGCAACCGACAACAGCATAACAAAAAGCAAAAAAATGCTGTACATTAGAATATGCAGCGCTTTACAATAGTTCGCGATATTGTCCCATACTTAATTCGTAACATCGAATCACTGGTTTCGCAAACGCGGGAGCACGTACTGTTCCGTGCTTGCTGCAGGACCCTGTCGTATTAGTAACGTGCCAGTATGTCCAGTTGGCGCTTCCGGTTGTGCTCTGCCATTGATTGACTACCGGAAACTGTTGGCACAATGGCCAGACGTTGTAGTAAACAGCAATGCATCCCAAAAAAAAGGCCAACAAGCTACGAAGAGCGCCGTCCATGTCTTCTTGTCGTTGGCTGCTGTCCAAGCCTATGAGCGTCTTTCCCGATAAAGGAGCTATCGGTGAAGGTTTCACCGTGGATTTCCCAGGAATTAATATCCTGTAATTTTGCACAATAAGGTCAGCAAGAATTTTATTTGTGCTTGCGCAAGAAAACCCAATCTATCAATGTTTCTAATGCTGAACCGAAACGTTATACTGTATGAGTAAATTATTTTTGTTTATTGAGATTTTAGCCTGCAAAAATCAGATACTGCGAATTCATATTTCGTAAGAGACAACGGGTATATCCAGTGCGGACTTAACAGTCAGTTATACTTTTAGTAGCTAAGTACACTTGTTGCTCTGCAAAATATCAAACAGGGATAGTTTTTAGCGAGTGAACATTTACGTTCCATATTTTTTAATATTCATACATGCCTGATTCCCGTTTTAATCAGTGAAGAATACGTCTCATTCATCCACACTCCCCAAATTCTGCCACAACAATAAACGGCCAAAACGATGGAAAAGAGAACACAGCCAGGGAACACCGCGGAAGGGCCAAATACAGCTACAGCCGCTATGACTGACATCCATGCCACAAGCACCACCGGTAAGGCACTGAAGACCACCCACACAGCATAGTGAACAACGGGGCCGATGGAAACGGCCACCACGACCAGCACGGCCGTTACGTAATCTGGCAGCTGAATACGGGCAAACATCCGGCTGTGCTTTGTGCTCAATGCTGCCAATCCACGGCAGTACAGGAAATGCTCCTTTGATACGGGAGACGTCCAGTCGCGGTTGATGAATATCACGTAGAAGAGCGAGACGCCGAGCAAGGCCGTAAGGAGGATTGTCGTCAAGGTGGCCGCGTAGCCAAGGACAATGTACGACGCACTTGATGGGACGGCAAGCAACCCCGCCAATGTCGAGTGGGTGACCGTGACCGGATGCGGTGACATCCATCCCGACATGACATCATCCCAGAAGCAGGCGTTAACTTTCTGCAAGATGTTACGGAAAACAACATGACATGTCAATGGCGCAGTGTTAAGTGGTTTCCTTGTTTATATAAATTCGCTCTATCACTGTACCCACGTGATCGTGCAGAGTGTTAAAAACAGGATAATGGCAGTACGGCGCAATGAACGTCGGACTAGAGCCGTGGCAAAATCGACTTTATCGGTCAGTGTCAGCACTGTCAGGTTTTATTTTGCAGTATGTACTCGTATTATTAAAATAAGTAGTTCATAATAATTATTAGTACCCATTTTCCGGGTTTTAAAAAAGGAAAATCTTCTTGTCTGTTGTAGAAAGTATTAAAAATAACCTAGAGTTAATAAAAGCTTTATCTTCAAAGTACGCGTAGGATGCAGTCAATCAGGCAACCAAATAAAAATAAACACTAGATATTACTTTTTAGATACATAGCACTACGCCATTACATTGGGCTGATTGCGTGGCTATTTGGGAAAATCGTATTAATTTTTGATGTTGCGGACATTGGATTCAGTGTTTCTTCGTGGGCTTTCCTGCTCTGCGCCCACGTAATGGGACACGCGGGCGGCGGGGCACGCTTTTACTTACAAGCTACAGATATACTTACATTTTCGAAAATGGCTAAGAATTTGCAATACATGTATATTCCTTTACAAATACAATATGGTACAAAACAAATCAAAATAGGCAATGCTACAAATTTCTTCAATTGTCAGCAACTAGATCCTGAAAACGAGAGAAACAAGGTTTCTCCGGTGCGCGGAACGCAACAGAACTTATAGGATTGCCCTATCTTGTAGTGAAAATTAAAAATGTGGGTCGCTGAAAATTGCCTTGTAAGCATATAAACCTTGAAACTTGAAAAACCCTGCTATTTCGCTGCCTCTTTCGTTTTGTTTTTAATACTGTATCATTGTTTTAAAAGGTTATCGCAAAATACGAGTCAGAGATTCGTTTCTTAGGATGCGAGACAACCAAAAAGCTGTGAACGTAGCTACACAGATGCAAGGAGCAGTATAAATGTACGAGTACAACAGAACTATACGCACAATACTTTCTGATGGCGAGTAAAGAAACGTGGCAGCTTTCACCACGAAATAACAACTACTGGCAAGTGATTTTAAAAAACAAGTTCTCTTATTATCCAGTTTATGATCAAACCAACCAGCAATTTGGCAATTTCTAGGTACCCCAATAAATTTCACTATAGAATGCGTTCGTGTGCGTACTACATGGTCTGCAAATATGGCCTAAGGAAAAAGGCAGAAAATCAAATCGGGCGCTTTAATCTTACCTTGTGTAAAGTACCCAGGAGCAACGAAGTCATAAATTCAGGAGGTAACAGCTTTTTTCCCCGCCAGCTTTTCTTAGTACAGCATAAAACTTTGTAGAATTATTTGCGTTTAACTGACTGAGATTATAATGGAAACCTCGCAGAGACAGTGTTTGCGCAAAGTTAAAGACTAACGCTCCCACACCAAGGCGGTTGGCAGGTTTTACGCGCCGGAAGCGCTTGAAAAGTTTCGTTCGATTCTCTAATAAGTTGCGTTTTGTGACGGTCTGCTGTATAGTTGATTGGATAGGATAACAAGCAATATATCCGAACTGTGTAAAACTCTTTAATTTGCAAAATCATTGATAGGATGCTCAGTAGTCAACTACTGATGAAATCCTTAAGATACTGTTTACTTGATTAAGCTGTCTGTGGATGGATTATTATAATATCATTCTAATATACCAAAAATATTAATAAAAGTACCAAAGAATAATAGCACGGCTTCCTTTTACAAGCATTGGTGGAAAAGGTGGATGCAACGGCCGGGGATGACATTTATTTCCCTTGGCAGTTAAGTGTGTGCCTAGAACACTACCTAAGCTATTATAGCTGTATACCAAGTAAGCCCACAAATTACTTCCGGCATTTGACTAACGGTATCCAAATATAACACTTAAATAACAAACTTACTTAAATGACTTACTTAAGCACGAGCAGTCTTTATTATAATGCTAAAGCGAATAAACCTGACTTACAAATCCGGACATTTGGAGTAGGAGATCGAAATCGTTGTGTTGATCCGGGTCTAAGCGGCTATCTCGCCATTGTGGAAGAATACGTAATCCAAATTTCAAGCAAATTTGACAGGCGAACCACAGGACCAAAACGGACTCGGTCAAGATTTCTGGATAGGACGGAAACCTTTCTTTTTCAGCGGAAATGGCAAACGGCTTTTTGACTGCCATTTTAGCGAAAATGGTTCAAAAATCAAGGGCTTGCCAAACGATGCGAACAAGAGTTCACTGACAACTGAGAGCGACGGCAACCATGGTCAGAGTAAAGACTCAGTGTTTCGTGTGGTATCATGTCAACAACGTAAAGCTCTGTATTTAACCATCAGCGGCTGCGTTGTTTGAGAGCTCAAGTTGAGTACAAACGACTAACTGTAAGACATTAACTGGTATAAGTACCGGAAGGTCTGCTGGCCGAACTATGAGAAAATCCGGTTTACTGTTGCTTTGTACGGAGAACGCTGCTGACTGCGGTAGCTTGTTTAAAAAATCGACTGCCGAAATCAACCATCTTATGCGAATTAGTATCGATATTTGTCGTACTTGTGCCCGTGCAGAAATGAAGCCCATATACCTTAAGAGCCCAAATACATAGATACTATGTGCAGGTGACGGTTACAGTCTTACAGATACAAAATACATTGTTTGCAACAAGGAAGTTTTCCAATTTTAGTTACGTATATAAAGCAATTTTCGGTTAGCAAATTATTTCGATATACAGAAAACATGGACAATATACATGTATTCCCTGTCTGTGATTAGTTACAGTCGCTCGTAAAATTAAATTCTCCAGCTGACACAGGATGAAAATTGATTCGCATCGTAACTGTGTACGTGACTGTTGACTCATTCTAATACTGCAATCCTCTACTGAATGCACTTTGCCACTTCCTAAGCCACGTGACCAGACGCCATATGGCCCAGTACATGGTAAATCAGTCAGGCTAGTCAACGACTCAACAGTAAACAACAACATGGGTACTGGTGCGGCTCACCTCGGCGCTATACTTATTTGACGGTCTGCAGAAAACAAGCATACACTGTGGGGTTTTCTGTACAAACACGAAGCAATCACTATATTTTTATAAAGCTAAGAATAACTCCTGGCGGTTAGTAATTGTATCCAGTTAAACGCAAATGCAGCGGCGGCTTTTTTGGTGCCAAAGACAAATGTGTTGTATTTTACAAAGACGAATTAACAGCAATATGTTTGTATTTTACAAAATTACGTCTTCCGATATAATGCGTTTTATCAATAATTGTCCCTTCGCGGCTGATTGAGAAGCCCGTCCCGAAGTTCCGACACATGCCTTGCCGTCAGAAACTGACCCTGTCCCTCAGGAAAAATAGTCCGAAACTATTACAACTTGGATCAGTTTTAACAGTTATTAGCGGCAATAATCATATTAGTGGTAACCGTATAAAGTGTTTATTGTTTTCGTTATACCGGTTAATGTTTTGCTGTTTGCGTAATGCAATGATACACAGGTTTTTCTATCGAACATTCGAGTGTTACGCGGGTATATTAAGACGGATAAAACTCTTGCAAAACACTTGTCCATTAACCGTGCATGATTAATGGAAGCCCCTCCCAAAATAAAGACCCCAAACCCTTACGAAAAAACAGTGACCCTATGAAAAAAAGTCTTTAGTTCGTAAAATACGGTAATTAAGTAAGCTAATGTTTAATCAAAAAAGCCAAGGATTAGATACCATTGCAACCAAAAAAATATTTGCAGCTTCCTTATGGCAGTAACAATGGCGCCCGATGCCGCAAATGCATTAACAACCCAACAGCCGGAAGCCAGCTGAATCATCGGATACAAGGCGTTCTTACTGCAGGAGGCTGGAGCGGGGCAGCCCAAGAGCCGTCTCTAAACCTAACGCTGCGGTCTTTGCGCTCCTTTTGACCGGATCGCACAACGCTCCGCATCTGCCGCGCTGACTTCACCAACCAGAGGTACATCCAAATACTGTACGCGGTCAACAGCAGCAGAAGACCGGGCAGCTGGAAACGTTCAGGCAGGAACAGCCCGACCAGGGAATACGAAAGCACCAGGCCGACTAGCGGGCAATGGGTGGTCAGCAAGAATAACCAAACATTGCTCACTCCCTCATAGATGCAGTAACGTAGTCTCGTACACAAGCAGCAGGATACTGTCAGGTCTGTGTTTTTCGGAGTGTCAGTCTTTTGTGTGCACGCAGCAGTCACGCGTGCGCCGGGCCTAGCTTCCTTTCTTGATATTTCCTGGTTAGCAACCTCATTTCCTGTCTCGATATCATCTGATACAAGTTCTGCAGTTAACGAGTTCCACGACTTATCACTGAAACATCAAAACACGACGATTTTTTCAAGCACGCACCTTAATTACGTAAAAGTTGTGTGGCCATCTAAAGGTATAGGGCACCCATTACATGGTACACTAGTTGCTGGTACAAAACGCACTTGAACCTTAACTTCTTTCAAGAGATTTTTGCTAAATTTGAAAATAATAATGGTTTTAAAAATTATCTAATTGCGTTATAATCTACGAAACACGGTCTGTTCCAAGTTGCGTAGTTACGAGTACTAACCTGTCGGCGGCGTTTTTCTTTCGCTGTGATACGACACGCCGACGCCATTTTTTGTAGCAGGCACGGACACCGTTACGAACGAGGAGTCCGCCGATGACCAAGATAGCGATGACAAAGACGATATTTTCCACGCATATTAAGGCCTCAAAAGGTACATGACTAAGCCCGGACAAGGCTCCACACCATACCAGGAATATCCAGCCAACGGCGGATGAGAAGGATGGAGTGAAGCTGGCCAGCAGATCCGAATTGGCGGTATGCGCTGACTGCAGTTCTTCTGATTGCAGATCCACCCAGTAAGACAGCATGGCGGCGTTTTGATCGAATGTCTAAAAGAGTTCTTGAAACTTGTACGATAGTCCTTGTTACTGTTTAAAAATCTTGCCGCTTTTTTGTCTAGAGTAGACCTTTTTGGTTTCCAAAACGTCTGTGGTTTAATTACCTATAATCTGATTGAATAAGTTCAGCATAAAAAATAACATTTACTGATCAGTTTAATCAATAAGGCACAAATAATATAAAAATGGGGTACAACCAAAATTAATATTGCCAATTATGTTCTGAAAAACCGCACTGAAAATTTGTTTTCTTGCTTTCTTAATTCATTTCAGGTTCAAGGTTGCCGCCAAAGCATTTTTTCTTTGGTTAGCAAAACATTCAGTTTCTGAAGACCAGGGCTGCAGTAGCGGGAAGTACCATAGTAAACCTACAGTTGAACGGACAATAATGCGCAAAGAATCATATTATGTTCGTTAATAAATTAAAGGTAGCTCAAAAAGGCGTGTATGTACGTACTGTTCCGTGTTTGTTGCAGGTCCCTGTCGTATTAACGGTGCGCCAGTAGGTCCAGTTGCTGCTTCCGGTGTCGGTCTGCCATCGAAAGATAAAGGGAAATCCTTGGCACAAGGGCCAGACATAGTAGCAAACGGCAAAGCATCCAAGAGTAAACACCTTAAAGCTGCAAGCTGCCCTTTCCCACTGCGCTTGTCGTTGGTGCTTGTCTGTGCCCGCGAACGCCTTTTTATGTAATGGATCGTTGGATAAATGTTTCCTGATGGATTCCACAGCAGGCGATTGCCTTATTTGCCTGTCAACAGTCGAATTAAGAAAGTGCAGAGACGTCTTTAGTTGCACTAACTACCACTAAGGTAACACTGTTTATTTCAATTAAACACATTAGTTGTGTTCAGAGTACATTTAATGTAATTATATACATGGAATCTTGTATGCATTTAACTTTTGTTTGACCACGCACTTTGAACCACAGCAGATAAATTTATTTTTTATGCATACTAGTGCAATATTCGACATTTGTACGCAGAAATGTTCTGAGTTTGGCCCAGGGAAATGTGCCCTGGTGAGTCTGGGCTTGGTCCGAGTGTGTTAAGAGTGTGATTTATGCACATTTATGACGGCTAAAATGTACAAGAGATCCCGAGTGCTTGGTTGTGATCATCGTTAGGGAAAGCGAGCGAAGGTGTAATAGCGGAAGCCTCGCATTTTGTATCAGATTTGTGTGATGTTATTGAGCATCTCACCTCACCAGTGCTCGATATACGCTTGAGTTTGGCTGGCTATCTAGAGCGGCAGGCGTAGTGCGGCTCCCACACAGCATGTCAGTACCGTTAATAAGTTAACGTTAAAATGAACAAAAATCGTTTACCTTATTTTCCTTTTAATCAGTGCAAAATAGGTCTCATTCATCCACAATCCCCAAATTCTGCCGGCACAATAAACAGCCAATACAATAACGAAGACCATGCAGCCAGGGAGCACCGCGGACGTCCCACATACAGTGACGGCCAGTACAACTGCCATCCACGCTAGAAGAACCACTGGAACTGCGCTGCATAATATCCAAATACCATAGTAAACGGAGAAGCTGAAGGCGCTGGTTACCGCATGCATCAAGAGTATCTGGTAAATTGACATTTCCGTGGTGGCGCTGCAGCACGGATGCACCGCGGACGGACCAAGGATCATACCTGCCGATCTAATTGTCTGCCATGCTACAACCACCACTGGTATGGCGACAAAGACCATATCGTTCGTAAACAGAAGGCAAAAGAGGCCACCTAAGGCAACCACGTATAAGAGGATCATGATGTCCAGCGGCGGAGTGCATTCGTCGGCAACCCAACTATGCTTTCCGATCCACGCCGCAAGCTCACGGCAGTGTGAGATTTGGTGCTTTGATACCGGAGATGTCCAGCGGCGATTGACGCAGACCAGGAGAACCAGTGAGACAGTGACGACGGCCGTAAGGGCAACGGTCATCCAGGTGGTCACATAGGCGAAGGCTCGGCTCGCCGCAGTCGGGACTAGTACATCCAATCCAGCCAGTGCCGAACGGTGAACTGCCACCGGATGCGGTTGTGTCCATCCCGACATGACGTCTTCCCAGAAGCAAGAGTTGACCTTCTGCAAAAGGTTGAAAAAAAATGTTAATGAGCATTGGTCTATCATGATTGTAGGCTTTGTAGCCCTTCCGATATACAGTCCAAGGACTTTTAGAAAATGATAAATGCGAATAGTTACTAGAGGTACCGTACAAATTAATGGGTAATTTTTGATTATTACATTATACACAGTACCTTTTATCTGTAATTTGCACATTACATTTTATTACAATAATGTTCACACATTACAAGTGACCGTGAATGAAAGGCTCATTAGTGCATAATTAATAGAAATCCTTACCAAAATAAAAGCCTCGTCCAATAGTCTTACACTATTTATTTACCACGGGTTGATAATTAATAAGCTACGGTAACTGAGCCCCAGGGTGGTCCGCCATTTCGTTGGCGGAAACGCGTCGGCCGTTACCAAGTCGAACATTTAAGTACACGATGTTAGTACATGTATTTGACCTTGACCGGTTGACGTAAATATTTATATGTACACCTGCGCATGAGCACGATGTAACAGTCTGTAAGCAAGTATGATAATATAAGTATGAATAATAACTATTTGATATAGGTATGTATTAGAACCTGTAGCTATTGTCAAAAAGGTAAAAGTGGTTCGCGGTACTCGCGAGACTAGCAGGTGGTGGTTATTTTTAAGAGTGAATCTGCAGGTGCTCAGATTTTTATTTCATTTTATATTTCAGTTCTCAGTTTGCGCTATCACTTTTTAGCACAAATACTGATTGCACGAAACCGAAGTAAGAATGATGTACAGATCTATCTCTAAAAAAATAATTCACTACGATTTATAGGCTATAACATGACATAGAGTACAGTATCTTTAAATTTTTAATTTTGTTTAGCCACGCCCTACTGATCATGGCAGAAGAAATTATTTTTTTAGGTATACCCTATTGTTACTCTGTCATCCTGCAAAAAATGAAATTTTTCTGAGAGGGGGGCCGGTACGCGTCCCTGGTAAGATACAAAAAAATACGTTTCCAAACCAGTAAGTTGTAATTTTATCATAATACGCAATATAACACCTTAAATCACTTGTTGCAAGCGAGACTTACATGTCCAGACAGTTCGAGGAGAGAATCGAAGTTGTTGTGATTGTCAGGATCCAGTCGACTGGTTCGCCATTCAGGGAGAACGCGCAGTCCAAATTTCAAACAAATCTGGCATGCGAACCACAACACCAAAGCGGATTCCGTCAAAATCTCTGGATAAGACGACCACATTTCCTTGTCCATAAAATAAATTAAGCATTTTCTGATCCCCATTATTGCACAAAAACTAGCTGAAATCACGTCAATGCAAAACAGTATAAATAGATGTTTACCCGTCTCCCATCGCGACTGCTGACAAGCGGTGACAGCTTCGAACAGAGTAGAGACCCATTTGTTGGCGTAAGATGAGATCATGCAACAGCCTTAAGCCACGCCGTTATTTGCTAGTAAGGACGCTCGCATACGGAATAAGACCAAAGTCTGCACTCGTACTGTACTTTGTAGCACAAAATAAAAATAATAGATACAGTCGGCAATCATAGTCACAAAGCCCTGCGAACCGGTTCTGTACACCGGTTTGCTTTCGAAAGTCTGTTCCATAGTTCCCATACTACCTTTTCTGGTTTCAAGTTGGCACAGATAAGTCATACGGCTACGCCATCCATTGTAATAATTTTCAAAAAAGGTTGGGAGCGCGCAAAAGTTTTAGCAAAAGTACTCCAGTTTGAATATAACGACATCAGGTCATTTTTGCCTAAGTTAAGTGTTAGTTAATCCATTAACTAGAGTTAAAATCCGGGTGACCTGTTTTTGCTCTCTGGCTGTCATTGTTTCGCTGACCTACAATGTTATTTTTCCCGGATACGATGTCCTTATCATGCTAACCTGACTGACTGCAGAATTCATTCTCGATTATCGCCACTAGCGTAACTTGACTATTTTGTTAAACTGACGACTGTGTAACGTGTGCAATTTTTTCTTACTGTAACGTGTGAAATCCTGGACACACTCCAAGCTTGGTCGAACCGTACCCACTGTACTGCATCAGAGCTCCAAAGCTTGATCGGCACGCTGCAGTTCGCCTCTAAATGCGTACCAACCAGTCGCCTATTTACCCGCCGGCTCATCCGGCTTCTATCTGAACAACATGGCCAGCGCTCACTGAACCTCTCACCTGACTTCCACCGGGACATCCAGTGGTGGCTCACCTTCCTTCCAAAATGAAACGGCACAGCCTCTTTTATTAAACAATCGTGGAGTACCTCCGACATCTTCAACCTGTACACCGACGCCTCCGGCACTACTGGCCTCGGGGCGTACTTCAGTGGTGAATGGTTCCAACAGCGTTGGCCCACCTGGATTCATGACCTCTCTGTGCCAATCCAGTACTTGGAAATGGTCCCGATCTTGCTTGCAATGCTTGTTTGGGGGAAGCGGTTGTGGTGCTGGAAGATTATCTTCCACACCGACAACGAGGGCGCGACGCTGGCGTGGGAGAGTCTGAAATCCACCAATCCAGGCGTGCTTGACCTCATGCGTCGCATGACGGCTGCAGCCGCGGATAACAACATGACGTCAGAGGTGTGGACAAGGTGTGGACAACGGCATAGCTGATGCACTATCTCGTTTCCAGGTTTCCCGTTTCCGACGTCTCGCACCGCTAGCAGCCGCTCATCCAACGCCGTGCCCGAACATCTTCGACGATCTTCGACAAACCTACGGGATATCCCATCACTGAGCCGTCTCTTGGAAGCCCACATCGCAACGTCCACACGATCCACTTACCGCGCCGGCGCAACACGCTTTACCAACTACTGCGCCACACACCGTCTTATTCCACTGCCAGCACATCCTACCACAGTCGCCCGATTCATCGCCAGCTTACATGACGAAGGCGCCAGCGTAAATACTGCCAAAGTTTACGTGGCCGCCATCCATAACCTACACCGCGAAGCCGATGCGGAAAGTCCAGCCAATGCCGACATCGTGAAACGCACGATTAGTGGTTTCGTCCGACTGTCGGCGTCCAGTCCAGACAAAAGGTTACCGATCAACATGCACTTAATGCGTCAGCTGAAGGACCGCTTACGACTCAGCTCGCTGCACACCGTCGACGCTAGCATGCTGTGGTGTGCCTTCACGATGGCATTCTTTGGTTTTCTGCGGATAAGCGAGCTCGTCTCACCATCACCGACGTCTCATGACCGCCATCGCACTCTGCTGTCGCGTGACGTGAAGACGGAAGACGATGCCATTACAGTGTGCATTAAACGTTCGAAAACTGACCAACTTGGGAGTTGCGTTGTACTTCGCTTGAACGCGACTAACCGCTCGGTTTGTCCGGTGCGAGCATACGAACGCTACAACCACAGCCGCACCACCAAAGCCTGCGCGGATGGTCCACTCTTCACCTTTCGCGCAGGTCAACACCTCACACGAGCTTCCGTGCTGCATCACATCCGGAAGCTGCTCTGGGACCACACTGAACGCGACCGCCTAAACACCCACAGCTTTCGCATTGGAGCCGCCACCACCGCAGCCGACGAAAACATCCCTGAGCCGGATATTATGCGAGCCGGACGATGGAAGAGCACCTGTGTGCGTCGCTACATTCGGAAGACCAATCCCAGCCAAGTAAACCTGTACGGAACGTCTTGTTTGGGGGCAAGTGGCCAGAAGGAAGGTTAGAGGGAGCAATGGGCGCGCGTCTTCGACCTCCTAATCGAAACGGCGACATCTGTCCGCTCTGGCCTTCTTCTCGGCTTCCCATCCCATATCCGGCACTCGCTCACCATGGATTTCAATAGTCTGGTACGCAACACCAAAATTTAATAGAGTCTCGATTATAAGGCATTGTTTTGAACTAGCGAATTTTGGCGGAGTAAAATTGTTAATGAATAATCGCTTACGGTCGATCGATTTTCAGAAATAGTTTATTACGCAGACTTCCCCTGCCGGCTTCCTAGGGTAGAAATCCAAGGAACAAAAATGAGGCTATAATATGCCGATGTGCCGTTAAGATTGAAGGCAAATGTTCAACTTATAACATCGAATGCACTTTTCTACATACATTTATTTATACAGCGAAACGCGAGGCTCATCGGCACTTAAGAGATTTTGTACTGCTGATTTAATTTCCACGGCACGACCGTGCACAACATCATCCCGAGCGCGTCGGCACTTTTGCCGCTACATGAAAACCTACGAAGGCGGCCATCACTGAATGCCGCAACCGCACCGGAAGTGACAATAACTTGATCATGCAATAACTTGATATCAATAACTTGATTAGCTTGTTGGTGATTTTGATGACAAAGGCATCAAACTTGAAAAACACATTTAGCAGCAGAACAGCCGTCGAGTGCTGTACTTGTAATTGTAGATAAATCGGTTCTTACGTCATAGTTTTTATTTTCAGACACATCCATGGGGCAAAGCATTAACCAATACAGTCGTTCGTCCAAGCACGAAAAGTCATAATGCAATCTTATGCGCTAACTCTCGGATGCTGCGTGCAGCCAGCCAGATTGTGAACTGCTAGCAAATTTATCACGCAAAAGACACTAATGCAATCAAAAATCAACGAAAAAATTAATTAGCCACCTGCACCGAACATCGCATTGGTGCTATATGAAAGCAGCAGGGATTCGCGGATGTACTTCTTCCGGAAGTGGGCGGGCAGAACATTACACGGGGCAAGCAAGGAATCGAAAGCACTTCGGCAAGGTGTAAGAGGCAAGCGCAGGGTTAGTGAGCTGAGTCTGGCATGTGACGTAATTACGGCATATTGCGATGAATAAGGAAGCTGATAGCGAATTCCGAAGGATCTTTGCAGTTGTAGTCCACATGATCGACCGAAGCGAAGCGAAGGTCCTCTATGTTCAAGTAAACTGGAATTTTGTCTGTCCGTCGGTCACGCACTAATTTGTCCGTCGGTCACAAAAAATAATAAAATTAAAAATAAATATAAATTGAATATGTTAAACAATTACAGTATCTACTGTATGAATTGGAGTATTATAGAAAACATACAGTAAAACACTAAAACCTATAAGTACAACAATACGGCGCTTTTGTCTGCCTGTCGGTTATGTGGTATTCCCGTCGGTCTCGCAATAAACCACTGGATATCCAGAACGTAATATTTTGGGTATTATCATGAGTTGCTGTTATACGTAGACACGTATAGCAGTACTTCATAGGGTAAAAAATTTCACTCACTAAAAATCAATAATATGGTCACGTGAAGAATAATAATAAGCGTGAAGAATCAAGACAGGATGATTATGCAGGTGTGATTGTGACTTCCGCCAGTCTAAACAAACGATGAAGTACAAAATTTCCCAAAGCTCGCAGTCACAACGAGAACGCAGCTTAAGAGAAGTGTTACGGTACATGGTACCAAATTCGTGTGCATGCACGAAAACGTTCACTTTCATGCACTCCCAAGCACTTTTTTGCTTTGTTTTATGACATTGAAAATGCCGGTAGCAAAAATACGGGCGCAGCACAGTGGTGGCAGGCTGGCAGCGCGGCAAAAGGCAATTAAGTTCTTATATTATCATGAATTATCCCCCTAAATATCATGAATTATCATCCCCCCCCCCCTTTACTGTCCTGTCATCCTTTATCCGTTTTGGTACTTTGTTCATATACTTAGTTCGTACTTGTACTGCGATACCCTTAAATTGGTAATTAATTAATGGAATTAACCCTCCCCCCTTACTGTCCTGCATGTCATCCTTCATCCGTTATATATAGTATACGAATATAACGATTACTCCGTCATGCTCGATTGTAACATTATTATAAAATATAGGGGGAAAAATGTGTCTAGCCGAACCAATCCCTTGTACTTCTGATGTAAGCCAGCTGGTGGTTTACGTTGTGGCTTGACAGTGTTTTATGTAAAGCGCTGCCATTAAGATTGCAGGTACTGATAACAGGTAAGCAGCACTCGTACAACTGCAGGTAAACAGGCTAAAACTGTGTTATAGCCCGGACCTGCCTGGTGCGGCTAATACCACATGTACCGTCAATGCCACACAGCCTTAATAGCGGCGCTGTACATAAAACGCTGTGCAGCCACAACGTAAACCACCAGCTGGCTTACATCAGAAGTACAAGGGATTGGTTCGGCTAGACACATTTTTCCCCTTATATATGTAGGCCCCATCCTCAGGCCCTATCTGTACTTTCCCAAATAACTGTGTTCCGATATCTCCAGTCACAACAAAATGGTTGGACAAGTCCAAAAACTGCACAACAACACAGTTGCCGCTTACATTAGCTTGGGTAATTACCTGGTTACACAAAGGTCAAGGCATTACGTGCGATAAAGCGGTAATCCACACTGGCTAGCGGGAAATCGCATCCGTTTTTTATTAATGTTGGCTTTTCCCGCGTGAAGACATGGAGCGAAAAGAGATGGCAATAGCCGAATTCAGGAAAGCCGTAAGGTGGTGAGAATAGCCAAAGGTGGTGTAAAAAATATTAAAAAAAGTTGGTGCGAAAAATAGTCAAAACCGGGTGAAAGGTGGTGGCAATGGCCAAAGGAGCTTTCAGCGTGATGAGAATAGCCATTTCCTAAATTTTAATAGGAAATACCTATCTAATGAACATTGCATTATGTATTTATCAACATTAATCATCTCAGATTAATCATCTCATTATCAACAGTCCCATCTCATAATAATTGAGACGAATTCTTTATTTGAGTCACTATTCTTTATTTGAGTGTTTTTATTGAGCGAGGCGCCGGCTCGGCAATAAACATAATGCGATTAAAGTACAAGGTACATTAAGCAACATAAAATAACATCACTTTTTTAATGTTTAATTTTTAACTGTGATGTAATGTGCCAGCGCTTGCAATTTTTTGTTATTTTATTGGCTAATGCGTACTAATACCACATAACAATAACCTAAGTATTTTTGTACAAAACTCAGTTTCCGGCTTCGCTTCGGTCTAATAGTGCTAGCCAAAAGCGGTGCACTTCCCTAGTACTATGGCGGACGATACATTTCTTCGGAAATCTTCTGGTATCTGCACTGTGAACTTGCTCGAAATGTCGTTTTCAAGCAGGTTCAACAGCACCTCAGGTCAACGGTAGCCGTTCACGGAACCCATGCTATAGTGGGCAGTTTTTAGACGCTGATGTAATTACACCTTGTTTGAGTACGAGGCAAGTGTCCCTTAAATTAATAGACGCGTTTTGCCTTACCATAAATTGACAACCTAAACCGCAATGTGCGAACCTGGCAGCCACCAAGGGTTGGCAGCGTGTAATACAAATGGTGACTGCATTGCTCCCATTGACTTCGACGTTTAACTGATTCGGCATTTACTCATCTAAACTTTAATCACAACTACAACCAAACATTCCAAATTGTGGAGAAAAAATCTGGGAATTTTCAGGTACCTAGCAAGTAAGTTTTCATGGCAGGCAAAGAAAGTTATGAGCGTTTATGGTTTCTCGTAGACATAGCATAGGATGCTCTTCAACGGCTCCTCGCACGAACCTTATGCCATGACTGCGAGAAACTGCAAATGTTCATAACTTTCTCTGCTTGCCATGAAAACTTACTTGCTAGGTACCAAAAAATCCCCAAATTTTTTCTTCATCATTTGGAACGCAAGTTTGCAGGTTCGGTGGGATTTTGGCTAGTGTGAATGCCAACTTACTTGAACGTTGAGTCAATGGCAGCAATGCAGTCAACCGTTTGTATTACACGCTGCCAGCCCATGGTGGCTGCCAGGTTCGCACATTGCGGTCTAGGTTGTCAACTTATGGTAAGGCAAAACGCGTCTATTAATTTAAGGGACACTTGCCTCGTATAGATTTTCGGTTTTGCTTTAGCCCTGCGTCTTGAATTGCGAAAGTAAAATTTTTCTTAAAATCAGATGCAATTATGTTTAAATTTGGTAAGGGTTTCGATCGACAAGTCAATTCAACAGCTGGATTTCCTGCTGTGCAAATTGGAAGCCTCGTACTTTCGACTACAGCTTGCCGGCCTTGCCCTGGCTAACTACTTGTACCTCAGTGATCACTTCGAGCGAGTTCACATGCAGTAAGAAATGCAAATCCGCAATCTTGTCGGTTATCGTCGCGGAAAACTGGGAAGTCGTACGACATCGGACACAATTATCACAGACACGATGAATTTTTTTGCGTTTTAATATTACACGAACTGACAAAAGTACTGTATAAAACTTAAACTGTCCCATCTTGAAAAAATTTTTCGGTAGTATATGTATCGTACAAACTGGTCAATAAAACCGGCCAAACTTCGGTTTGGCTAGAAATTACAGTCACAAATAGCAAACAAAAAACAATTCTTACGTTGAAGCTTTTATAGAAACATCTAAGCTTTAATCGTACTGAACTGACTGGTCTCTACAGTTAGAAAATACTGAATGAGTTTTTTCCAAACAGGAGATTAAACTTTTTTTACGACAATAATAATTGTGCCCGATGCCGGAGACTTAATTCAAACTCGACAGCAGATACCTACCGAATTATTTCAGGAGGAAAAATTTTGCTGCTGGACGTTTGGATTTGGATGTCGTAATGCTGTTGGACCAGCGAACATGACGGTCAGTTTTGCGCTTATTTTTAACGGATCCTTTACTGCGTCGTATATGCCACACAAACTTCACCAGGTTGCCGTACATCCAAATCGTGCACACCGTTAGCAACAGCAAGATGCCGGGCAGTTGCAGACATTCGGGCACAAACAGTCCTACAAGGGAATACGGGAGCACCAGGCCGCAGACCAACGGGCAATGGCCGTTGTAACGTGGGGCCTTATGGGCGCCCACGTACCTTCGACGGCGAAACAGCGGAGAACCCGGATTGAGGCTTTAATGCCGAAATCTAAGGTGCGCACCGTGGCGCAGCAAACACCGACTAATGAGATCGGATCCTACAGCCAGCGCAGCTGTGCTGTAGGTCCGTCAAACACCACAGAAATGTGTGGGATGGAAATCCCCAGAAACAGCGAAACACAACGGCGAATGGCCAATCGTGAAGGCGGAGCTATCGGCCTTCACATCCCTGTACTGTCCAACACTGAGCCCCTGCGAAGTGCATGAAAAATGGCGGTATGCGCCGTAAATAAGAAAATGTCAGTATGCATGCAGTAAAAGTAACATAAGATCAAATGAGAAAAAAAACACTGCGTAGTACAGGCCCGTCCCTGTACTATGTCCAATTGACTTTACTACCGGATACACGGTTCCACTTCGGGCGGCTTACGGTCCGGTTCGGTCAGTCCAGGTCGGGTAAAAGGTGGTCCAGTCGGCTCAAGTCTTGTCGGCTCGAATCCGGTTCGGCTCAGGTCAGGTTCAGGTCAGGTCGGCTCCGGTTCGGTCAGAGGTCGACCTATTGGGTCAACGCACTGTCGCGAAAGATCCAGGGTCCAACCCGGAAAGCAGGCAAGTTCCGGTTTTTTCAGCAGGGAAAGGTCACGTTCTGGAGAAATTTGGGCAGGGGTTTGTGGCATCGGTACGCTCGTGACCCTGCAAACAAACAAATACGCTGCTCCGGTGGGGATATTCCACTGCTCCGTCCGGGTGAAGGTCGCCATCCCAGGAAATACGGGCAGGGCTCTGGTGGGGGGAATTCTTCGGCGTGATGCTAGTGGTCGATCCGGCCGTAGGGATCGGAGTTGGTGCTGCTGGTCGCGGTGTATCCGTTCTGGTTTCCCGCTGAATCCGGGCCGCGTCCGCCGTCGGCATCGCGAGGCGATTCTCGCTCTGGCATCTCCATCGCCTTCTGGTGTGGAGGCATCCAACGCGGTCCGCATTGGGGTGCGTTCTGCACGGCAGGTGGGTTTCCCGGGGGGCTACGGATGGAGCTCCACACTCGGGGTTGCATTGGCAGCGATCCGGTCCACAACAGAAGTGCTGCGTGCGCGGGAGCGCGCGTAGCTGGACTATCAGCCAGCTCTGCTACCGTAACGTGGGGCCTTATGGGCGCCCACGTACCTTCGACGGCGAAACAGCGGAGAACCCGGATTGAGGCTTTAATGCCGAAATCTAAGGTGCGCACCGTGGCGCAGCAAACACCGACTAATGAGATCGGATCCTACAGCCAGCGCAGTAACATGGGTCAAACACCACAGAAATGTGTGGGATGGAAATCCCCAGAAACAGCGAAACACAACGGCGAATGGCCAATTGTGAAGGCGGAGCTATCGGCCTTCACACCGTCCATCGCAAAGAACCACATATAACTCAGTGCTTCACACAGACAGGGTTCTGTCGTTTCCGTGTTTTTCCCCACTAGAACCTTCGGGTCAGATGGGATCGGCACTGGTAAAACGTGTGAGTCCTTTACTTCCAGGATCGTTTGATCGTTAATAATATCTCCGTGTGGCATAATGTCGGTATTATCCTTCTCCGTGCTAGCTGGTACAGGAGAACGATCTGATGATGCGCTGCCCTGACCATTGGGTTTTTCCGCCGCAACCTCCACAATTAGCAGATGCGCCTTGTATCTGAAATAACGAACATGTCCGTTGAGAAATGGACACGCCACAAGCCACACATGCAGTATCTGCGCTGAGGCCGGGAGAACGGTCCGGTTCGTGTTACCGAAGACCCAAAACAAAACCAGAATCGAAGTGGTTTTTTGGAAGACTAAAACATATTTGAAAGTTTCCCAGATTCAATAAAAAATTTTAAAACAACCTTCACAATTATGTATCGTCATGTCCAGTCAGTCCAGAAGCCGGATGTTGCGCGTATAAACGGTTTCCATGCAAAGTGGTGTCTTATTACAGACGCTGTACTCCATACATAACGGCCGGATGTAGGACGATAAACTTGAGACGGTAGATCAGTTTTCGACAGCACTGATATGTATAAGATCTCATTTAGCCGCGCAAGATCATTTCCCAAGTCATAGACTCGTACATATATGTTTAAAGCAGCCTGTGTCAAGGAGAATACTGCTTTACCTGTTATCGGCCGTCATGATTCGCTGGTCAGGAGCATGCCGACGCCATTTGGTACAGCAGGCCTGTACACGGCGATATACGAGTAGTCCACCGGCGACCAGGACGGCAATGCCAACAATGATATATTCCGCATAATGCACCGCCATAACCGGTATGCCGCTGGCCACGGACAGTACTCCACACCATACCAAGTACGCCCTGCTGACAGCCGGTGAGAAGGACGGAGTGAAGCTGAGCAGCCGCTCGGTATTGCTGCCAGGCTTTGACCGCAGTTCTTCAGACTGCAGATCCACCCAGTATGACAGCATCGCTGTTCCTTGGTCGAAATACTGTAAAAAGGCAATAATTATTGTAATTTTTTCTTTACACCCAACCGTGACATTCTCCCGAGATCTAATTTTAGAACCCGAACTGGCTGAATCAATACGTATATTATGATGATTATATCCAAGGAATGGGTCAGCATGACTAAATATGAGAAGAAAATTAGTAGAATTTTTCTCGCTCAGCACAGTATTATTAAATTTTGTCTATGAAGGTGACGCGCTTACTGTTCCGTGCTTGGTGCAGGTCCCTGTTGCATTAAATGGGTGCCAGTACGTCCAGTTAGCACTGCAGCTTTGCCATTGACTGACGATGGGAAACTGCTGAAATAATGGCCAAACGTTGAAATAAACAGCAACGCATCCCACAAAGAAGGCCGAGAAGCAGCAGGCTGCCTTTTTCCGGTGTACTTCCTGTCTTCGGGTTTTGCTCGTCCCCGCAGTTCTGCTTTCTTGAGGGCGATCAGCGGATGAACGAGATTCGGTAGAATTTGCAGAAATCAATTTTCTGTAAGCGAATTCGATATTTTCAGCGAAATATTTAACTTTCCTTTACAGAGCTGGCTAAATTTATAACAGTAAGGGACTCAACTGGATTATAAAAACTGAAATCATTGAAGCGGTCCTAATGTAGTTTCAATGTTAGACGGTAGTATACCAGCCTAGTATGAACTATGAACTACCAGCTGACAAAAAAGCTTTTTACCTGATTCCCTTCTTAATCAGGGCAAGATAACTCTCACTCATCCATAATCTCCAAATTCGGCCGGTACAATAAACGGCCATGGTGCTAGCGAAGAGGATACAACCCGGGAAAACAGCAGATGGGCCAATTGCGGTTATGGCCAGTATAACGGACAACCATAGAAGCATCACCGGTATGGCGCAACACACCATCCAGCTGGCATAGTAGATAGTGAAACTGACGGCGCTGACCATCGCACACAGCAAGATCAGTATGATGTTAGCAGGCCCATGCCTCTTGCCCGCCGGTCGGTACTTTTGGATAATCGCCTCCACGTCACGACAGTACGGCAGATGGTCCTTCGATATGGGATAGGTCCAGCGGCGATTGGCGCACACCAGGTATATCAAAGAGCCGCTTAAGAAGATCGTCAGGATGACGGCAAGAAAGGTGGCCATGTACCCGATGATTCGGTTGGAAGCCGCTGGAACGTCCACAACCAGTCTGGCTCCTTCTGCACGGGCCACAGTGAGTGGATGCGGTGGTATCCATCCCGACATGACGTCATCCCAGAAACAGTCGTTCACCTCCTGCAAGAGAATGTGAAAAAATTTTGGCCTGACCGTGGCACATTGCGCAGTGGATTCTACGTTCCTGTGGAAGCCAGGTTGATGCACCACTACAGAGTTTGAAAATCAGTGGTAGCTGGTGTTCTACTGTAGATCTTCAAATTTCCTATCGGTTAATTTTACATTACACACAGCTTAAAAGTAGCAGACAACACTGACCACTGAATGGCCCTTATTTAAATTTTTTCTTTTTCTAAATTATGTATTTGCTAACACTAGTGACGGCCGCCCTTGTATCCGTATTTCAGTTGAATAACTGCAGATATATCTGACTAATATCGTGCGCATACATATCCTCGTTCCATTTCCCCTGAACTGAGAGGGAGTTCCTTGTTGTACTGCGTTCTTAACACTGACTGAGTACACCGGCCTTATTTATTTTCCTCTCATACAACTTCAATTTTTACTTTAATAAGTTTAAAAATGAAAATCTTCACCAAAAACTGTAGAAAGAACTACTCTCAAAAACTGTCACGGACAATATAATGAATCATTTTGGAATATACTGCAAACAGCGCAGGAAGCTAATGTACCACATTTAGACGTCTGCCAGTTTAACCTACCGGAAATTACCTCGTGGTTTTGCTCTCACAATCAGGTATCGTTGTGCAAAATTAGCGGTACCCGTCTGCTGTAAATGCTGTGTTACGAATACCTGAGAAGAAATGTACTGTACAGAGTGCACAACATACAAAACTCATTAGATTTAAAAAATTTAGAAATTTAAAGCCTGTTTTTGTAAGCATGTATAGGAAGGTATCACATTATTCTCTGCTTGATTCTGGTGTGCTAATTCTCATAAAGCATTTAACAATAATATATTAAGGGATGAACATGACAGAAGCACGAATATCGGAAAATACCCTTGGGATCTGATGTAACCATTACTTGAAAAGCATGGCTGTGAATTAATTTTTTATACATGTAATTTATTTTTCAGGCGAGCGAGCGTTTTCAGTGTTATTTATATGATTTATAATTTTAAGGTGTTAGACTTACAAGTCCGGACAGTTCGATCAGGGAAACGAAATAGGTATCCGTGTCGGGGTCTAATCGGCTGTCTCCCCATTCCGGAAGAATACGCAGCCCGAATTGCAAACAAATTTGGCACGCAAACCACAGCACGAATGTGGATTCCGTCAAGATTTCTGGATAAGCCGAATACGATTCCTTTTCCAAAAAATAAATTAAGATCGTCTTGATCGGCATTTTAGCAAAAAATGTCTACGGTGAAACGATGCGAGCGGATGCAGACGTGCCAGCTAGTGAAAGTGACGGCAATCTAAGGGCCCATTTGTTGGTGAATAAAGATGATGTCATGCAAAAATAAGCCTTGTATGAGCGTAGACCTGATGAAGGTTCACGCGCAGGAACAGAATTGACGGAATTCTGCCTGCCAAACAGATCTGGCAATGCTATACAGCGCCTACGCTATGGAAAGCGAGAAACGGCGTGATTGCTAGAACTTTTTAGACCAGACTAAATTCGATAGAATTTCCTCGTGGACAACTCCGCATTGCTGACTGCAGCAAGCGTGAAAAATGCGCACGTAGCCGCCACATGATGCGGGTGCGCGCAGAACACCATGCTTTCGCCACACGTAGGCGGGCGTGCAACAAAACACAACAGACTGCCAAAGCGAGGGTGTACGCATGTACGCCTGCGCTCACATGCCTCTGGGAGGGAGGCTGAGCTCCGTCGAAGCAGAATCCACGTCCAATTCCTTGGGATCCTTGACGGCTCGTCTGTGCGTTTTAAAACATCGAGATTTAATCTCTCTTTAACATCACAAATTCCAATTACATGTGTGAATAAAGAGATCTCGGAACAAAAGTAAAAACAGTAAAAAAATATCAACAGAATTCATTATCAAAACGACTAGGATCCTCCGACTCCTAAAGGTCACTGGGTCCTGTCAACCGTAATCCGCTTTGGTCCATTCCGCTCTTTTGAGCAATCTTTACCATCACAAATGAGATCCGCTTTAGGAATAGGTGCGTATCAAGTACGACTTTTCAATACTGCTGCTTCGTCTTTGGGATAATTGCGTATCAAGTACGACTTCTGCAAAATGAGATTCTTCCTCTTGGACATGGAGGGACGTCTTGAAAGACAAGCATAATGCTTCCTCCCTGGTAAGGTCATTCTCTTGAACTTTGATTGATGACTCGTTGAGCAGTGAAGTTCCCAAAGGTCATCCCTTTCTCTTCTGATGTGCGACTCGTTTGGGCCGTGACGATCCCAAAAGGTCATCCATTTTTCCATAATGAGTTCCGTATTAAAGGTCATGGAGGAACTTAGCCAATTTTTGGCTTCCAAGCAATTCTGCTTGCCTCCCTTGCAAAGGTCATCATTCTTTTCAACCATTTTCTTCGGTCGCACATCCTTTTCTTTTCCTTATAGTGCAAATTGACGCGCATTTTTCTTCTTTCCTTACCAGGTTCGAGGGCCGGTTAACGCCGTAACTCCTCTTTCTTCTGAGGCCGGTTATCGCCGTAACCTCAACATCTGAAAGTTTTACTCCTATTTTCTTGAACTCTTTCTCTTTTTCACCCTTGTGGCTTCTGTCATTCCGCGAGAGTGTGCCGACATAGTAGGCCGCAACTACACTCTAAAAGTGACGTTTTAAATGTAATGAGGAAGGCCGGTTAGCGCCGTTACTCTTCCTGCTTCGAGGGCCGGATGACCTCCGTAACTCCCCATATTTCGGATCGCCTTGATCCTCTGTAACAAAATTCTGAAAACAACAAAGACACAAATAGTACGACAGTTCAACAAGTTACGTCTCCTTCGCCCTGATACTGTACCTTTATTACCATTCTCGTGCTGCCGACTGATGGCCGTAACTAGCACATCAGCGATGCCCTAAAGGTCATCACTGATCATTTGAACCATTGTCGCGGTTCCGATCGAAACGTCGTCTTTCTTTTTCATTACGATCAGACGTTCGATCTCGAGGTTCCCTTTCCCTCTCTTGCAGCTCGTCTCCTTCGCTCCGGCTGCTAGTAGCACTGTGACGATTTCGGTCACGTCTGCGTTGGATACGGATCAGGTGATCTCTCGCGTCAACCATGCGCGCTTTTTAAGTCCCGTGACCTTTCTCGAGGATGATTGGATGACCTTTCGCAGACTCGTGACCTTTCCAATTCTCGTGACCTTTTTCGAGAATGATCGGATGACCTTTCATAAACGCATGACCTTTCATGTTTCCATAACCTTTGTCGAGGATGATCGGACGACCTTTCGTACACATGTGACCTTTCATTTCTGTCGGCTGACCTTGCCAAGCCCGACTGATACGTTTCTCTCGGCGGTGATTTCGGTCGTTTGAACTCGTCTCTCTTGAAATTTCTTTCGGTCTCCGTCATTTCGTTTTGCTGCATGAGGAATTTGCGCATGTTCTCAATTTTGTCCTCGATCAAAATTTTGATGACTTGCGACCATCGGCCTTTTCCGTCAGGTTGACCTTTTCTTGCAGGAATATTGTATGTTCTCTTTTGTTAGTGAGAGTGGATCCTTAAGGATGATGTCCAATTGCTGGATGAGTGATTCGCGTATAATCGCCTCCTGTACGTCTTGTTTCTTAAAATATCGCGTCCGAAACGGGTGCTGCAAGTCCCGCATGACCTTTAGCTGCATCGGCTAAACCCTTCTCTGCCGCAGCTTTCTTTCTTTCTTTCAAACGCTTTCTTTCTGCTTCACGCTTTTCTTGCGATATTTGCTTTCTAAACGCATTCGCTTCCGCAGTTTTAGGAGGTTCAAGGGTGACGTCCCATCCAGGTCTGCGTCCTACCCACATTCGGTATTTATCCTCCAAAATCACTCTATCTTCGGGCGATAGCTTCAGCCACGTTTTTCTTCTGACCAGGTGTCGAAATACATCTAGGTTGCCTCTTTTTGCTTCCTGCGGAATTACCAGGAGTTGATTTGGCATCGGCACGGCGACCACGCATTCCCAACAAGGGAATCGTTCACCTGAAAGGATGTTGTTGCGCTTGCAATCCGGGCAATCCTCGTTGTAATTTGTCAACGGGTCGCCGGTGACCTTTACGATCGACGGTCTCCGTCCCTTCTCTATCTTCTGATCAGTTTGGCTCCGTTCAGCCATTTTTCTCCGTTTTCACCTACAATCTCAAAATTTGTAAGTCCCGTGACCTTTCATTGATTTCATTTTCCAACGTCTATCTTTAAGCCTATGATAAAAAGGCTATTCAGTGCTGAGCTGAAACTTTTCGCTGCTCTTTGATGATGACCTTTGTCATCCTTCTTTAGCTGAACCATTCTCAACTGTATGTGGATGACCTTTCCCATCTTAGCTCATTCGCTACTCTTCTTGTAGAGTGTGGTTCGAAAGTAATTTGAGAACTACGGTCTGCTCATCTCCTTCTCATTTCTGGTTCTGATTCTTCATTTTGTGCGGTAGACCTTCCTCCCACACTTTGCTTCTTGCTAATGTACGGTGACCTTTCTCTGCTTCATAAGCGGCATGACCTTTCAGTCCTTCCTTCGTTGAGTGCTAAGTTCCCCGCTGAGTTCTTTAACTGGGCGCTTCTTCTCCTTCTCATCGCTTCAGCTCGGGTGACCTTCCCCCCCGGCTGCAATTTCTGCTGCCCTTTAGATCCCAGCTTGCCGGATAAAGTGTGATGACCTTTATCTTCCAACTTTTCAGCTGAAGTCTGGTGACCTTTGGCTGCAAACTTTTCGTCTTAAGTCGGATGACCTTTAGCTTCCAACTTCTTCTTGGTCCTTCCCTCTTGCCTGCTCAGTACCATTCTCTCATGAGCGACTTTCAGCGAAGTCAATAATTTCTTCCTCTGTTACTTGAGCTCGGGTGACCTTCCGCCCCGGCTGAGCTTCCCGCTGAATTTTGATGACCTTTAAGTGTTTCACTCGCTCTTTGATCCTTCCGTTCCCTTTCGTTTTGAGCCAATCGTTCATGAGCGATTTTCATTCAACGGCGTGATCGGAAATGACTTCGATTAGCGGGTTTATTTCTGATGACCTTTATGCCGTCCCAACTTCCAGTCTTAATATCATAAACTCCTATAAGCCTGATTTTCGGGTTTATTTGTTTTCGTCCTTTAGTTATCCGATCAAGTAATGCTTTGTCGGCTTCATCTTCGTCTTGGACTTCTCCTCTCAGAATCTGTTCTGGAGTCGGCTTCGGAGTTTTCTTCGTTTTCTTGACCTTTCGCTTCTCAATTTCGTTCGCGATCCGTTGGCCAAGTTGGTCGGCTTTTTCTTTGACGGCTTTTATTTGTTCCGCTCTTGAGAGGTCATCTTTGGCGCTGGTAGCAGAATATGGTTCGAAAGTGTCTTGAGGTTTACGCTCTGCTACTCTGCGAGCAGGCTCAACCATTTTCGCTCTTGAAAGGTCGTCTCTAATGTTAGTAGCGGAGCGTGGTTCGAAAGTAGGCGCCACTTGAGATCCATGCTCTGTGCTTTCTTTATCCTCATTTCGGTGTGACCTTTCATTTTGCTCAATCGTGGTCAAGTTCCCGCTTCTTGATTAAGCTTCATCGTGACTGGCGTCTCAAAGTCTTTAATCTCTTTCTTCTGTCGTCCTCTCTTTTTCTTAACTGGCTCTTCCGCCTCTTTTGGCTCTTCTGCCTCTTTTGGCTCTTCTGCCTCTTCTGGCTCTTCTGCCAAATCAGGTACAGAGCGTGGTTCGGAAGTATGCTGACGACTACGCTCTGCTTCATCTTGACCTTTCTCAATTATCTCCCAAGCTGCCCTTTCAGCTTGACCTTTCTGAACCGGTAACGGTGGATGCCACGGTTTCAGACGATCCACCGAAACGACTCGTAGGTCCGGTTCTTTCACCGCATCTTGCTCGATGACCTCGACTTCGTTCGGTCTCGGAAAACTGAGAATCTTCCACACTTTGTCATATTTATTCTTGAAGTCGGATTGGTTTTCCTTCTTTCCTTGCTTTGTATCTTTCGGGAGTCTAATTAAGACTCGATCTCCGACTTTGAATTGCGGCTCTGACTTCTTCTTGTTGTAGATTTCCGCGTGCTTTTCGTAAGCATCTTTGATGTTGCACTTCGCCACTTCTTCTGAAAAGGTCAAGTTCCTTTTCATGGTTTCGACCCATTCGTCTGGTGCACCGTAGTCGTCAGGAACGTTCGTCTTCGTCACTACGTCTTCTGGCATGGTCATTTCTCTCCCGTGAAGCATGTAGTACGCTGAGTACCCCGTCGTTGCATGTACTGCACGGTTCATTGCCGATATGACGTAGGGAAGATACTTGTTGAACTTCCTTTCATTTCCCGCTTTCAGGTACTGCGACAATCCATCACTGATGGTCTGCATCTGCCTTTCCACCTGTCCTTGACCTTCAGGATGGTATGCTGTTCCAAACGTGTGTTTGATTTTGAACACGTTGGTGACCTTTTTCAGTACTTCTGCGGTGAAATGCCTTCCGCGATCCGTATGGAGAATATGTGGCGCTCCGTGCACCAGAATTACGTGCTTCACAAAGATCTTTGCGAATTCCTTTGCAGTAGCTGTTTTCATTGGCTCCGCTATGACATACTTCGTCAGCTGGTCGATGAAGACCGCGATGTATTTGTATCCTCTTTTCTTCGTTGGAAGTAGGGGTCCTTTCAGATCCGCATAGACTCTGAAGAATGGATGTCCGACTTTGATCTCTTGGAGCTTTCCAGGCGGACACTTCCTTGGCGTCTTTATGAACTGACATCCTTGACACGCGAGGATGTAATTCTTGACATCCGTACTCATACGGTCCCAGTAATACCTGAGCCGGATCGCGGTCAGCGTCTTTTCGAAACCAAGGTGACCTGCTGCTTTTTCATCATGCAGTGCATGGATGATTGCCCTTCTCA